TTGGTTTTGGGTTTTTTTTTTGCGGGGGAGGGTGCTGTGATGGGAAATTGGGCTTCACTGCTCTTCCAAACTCTAGGCCATTTGAATGTCACAGTTGCCTGCAGAAAGGAGGGGCGTCCTTTGCTTCATCTTGCAGATGCTTCTGCAGAGCGAAGGACTTGCTTTGCCGGCGGGGGACAGAGAGGCTGTGTCTGACCTGAACATGTCCCCAAAGGCCCAGAGCAGGGAGTCCAAGCTCTCCACCCAGAAATGGCCTGTTGGGCCCAGGCCAGACGTCCCAGGGGCAGGAGGGGTGAGTAGGCAGGAGGGTGGGGCAGGAAGCAGTGATTGTGGGTCTTAATCCTTTGTGCACATAAGGAAAGATAGTTTGTGCCAGTTTGTTGGCTGGGGAGACTTTCCCCGGGCGAGTAGGAGCTGCCCCAGATAGGGTGGGGCCCTTGGAGGAGACAGCTCAGGTGGCCATTCATCTCCCCACCAGCCAAACAAGAACAGAGATCCATCAATCAAGGCAGAAAATCTGGGGGACCCGCAGCCACCTGCAGCTGTACAGGAATGTCTGCCAGCTCCCCACAAGAAAAAGCGAAGTAAAGCTAGAGTCATGATCTCCCCTTTGGGTTAATAATGGCCGCTAATTACACTTTCTATGTGAGGGTCAAAGCCAGCCCTTTGTGTGGGCTACTCATGGGTGGGTGAGAGTTTTGAGTCATCTGCGCTAAATATACACACAGAAACAACTGGTTTCTTCTGGCTAAACTGTCCACACAGATCGGTCACTTTGCTGTGGGGTTGAACTGTTCATTTGGGCCCAAGAATCAGAGCCGTGGAGTAAACAGAGCTTTGTCAGTAGTAAGGCAGCGTTTCTGTTTGGAAGTTAGATGACGTCCCTCCTTCTGCCCTGTCCTTGTCTGTGCTCCTAGTGTCCCCCTGTTACCTGGTGCTCCCTCTTTCTCCCTCCACATGGACTCATCCATGTGTGAAAACACATTCTAGAAAGTCTGTTTGTGGGTGGGTGCTGGTAGCTCCTGCCTATAATCTCAGCTCCCCCAGACACTGAGTTCAAGTCTTAGGAGTGGCGAAAGAAAGAGAGAGAAAGAAACAAAGAGAAAGAAAGAAACAGAGGAAGGAAGGAAGGAAGGAAGGAAGGAAGGAAGGAAGGAAGGAAGGAAGGAAGGAAGGAAGGAAGGAAGGAAGGAAGGAAAGCTGAAAAATAGAAATAGTTCACAAAAGAAGAAATATCTCCCCTAAGGAAATGGGGTCTACAGGGGCTTATAACCCACTCCAGGACCCCTTCCCCCCTGACTTCCTTTTATTTCACAGGACAAAGTTGATCAGAACAGCGCGGGTGACACCCCAGGGCCTCCCCTGTGGAGGTCTATTGTAATCTGGAGCTGGCATGACCAATTTATCAGAGGTCAGGAAGTCCCAGCTCAGGGTTTTGTGGTTCTTCGTTACAAAGTTCACATTACTGGGTTCCAGGGTGTGACCTGATGGGGTGGAGGAATGTTTGGCTGGGGGCCTCTGCCCTTTGCCTTTCTCTGCACTTTTGCCTGTTTACCGGGGACTGAACGCTCTGCCAGGGTGAGCAGGGACTCTCCTTGGTTGACCTGGGTTAGCTCTGAGACCGTCTAGGGCTCTTGTCTTAATCCCACCAAGAGCTGAAGGACAGGACGCAAGCAGAGAGGGTGAGAAGCTGTTACAGCAGCCGAAGTCCTTGAAAACAGAAGGAACAGACTCCCCAGAGGCCAGAAGCCAGGGAGAGGATTGGGAAGTGGGAAGAGTGCAAGTCGAGACAAAGTTTACTTGAAAGTAAGAGTAAGACGACAGGGGAAACTGAGGAAAAGCCTCTTAGCCATTGGTGGGTTGGTTTAGCCTCCAACTCATATACCAGACAAGAAAAACTGCCATATGCTACATTGGATCTGCTTCCCAGGAGAAGAGAACAGGAGGAGAAGGAGGAAAAGAAGGAGGGAGAGGAGCAAGAGAAGGCAGAGGAGAAGGAATAGGAGAAAAAGGAGGAGGGGGAGGAGGAGGAGGAGGAAGAGGAGGAGGAGGAGGAAGAGAAGGAGGAGAAAGAGGAGAGGAAGCTGAGGAGGAGAAAGAGGAGTGGGGAGCAGTAGGAGGAAGAGGAGAGCAGGAGGAGGAGGAAGAGGAGAGGAAGAGAAGGGGGAGGAAGAGGAGAAGAGGGGGGAGGAATAGGAAGAGGAGGAGGAGAGGAAGAGGAGGAGGAGAGGAAGAGGAGAAGAGAAAGAAGACAAGAGGGAGAGGAAGAGGTGGAGGAAAAAGTGGAGGAAGAAGAGGAAAAGGAGGAGGAGGAAGAGAAAGAAAAGGAGGCAGAGGAAGAGAGCTCAGATTTCTCAGTAAAGGAGAGCAAGAAGTGAGGCCTGGGAATCAGTAGCTCCGGCTGCAGGTCACTCTTTCATAGTCCATTTGGCGAGTCTCAGCTGCTCTGGCATCTGGCCGAGTCACATGACCTCCTCGCTCCCGGGGAAGGGGACACATGCCCACTGTGCAGTCTGCTCCAGAGTCCTCCAGGCCTTCGCCTTCTCAGGGCCTTATCTTTCATAGAGGAAGGGGCGTAGGCTCCAGTGGGTGGGCTCAGCTCTTCCGAGGTCTCTCAGAAGAGAAGAACATGCAGGCTTCAAAGGTCTGTTTTCCCCAGGAAGAGGAATGAGTGTCACCTCCAACCAGTGGCTGTGTCTCCTTATCTGCCTACACAATTCTAAATCTCCTTCAGCCCCCTTTTGTCATCGGGGGTCGGAGAGGGGGGAGGCTGCTGAAGACAGTATTAGCAGGAGCTGAGCAGGTAGCATTGCTCCACATGCATGCATTCATTCATGCATTCGTTCATTCATTCAGTTATTAAAGGGGAGGGGTGGGGTGTGCTCCAGTCAGGATCACTCCAGACACTTCTGGAAGGAAGTTGTTGTTGTCATTGTGGGTTGTGGGGCTTGAACTCAGGGCCTGAGCACTGTCCCTGAGCTGTTCTACTCAAGACTAGCACTCTACCACTTTCAGCCACAGCACTATTTCTGGCTTTCCAGTGGTTCACTGGAGATAAGAGTCTCATGGACTTTCCTGCTTGGGGCTGGCTTTGAACTGCAATCCTCAGATCTCAGCCTCCTGAGTAGCTACGATGACAGGTGTGAGCCACTGGTGCCCAGCTCAAACAAGATCTTTGGGGAAGCAGGCTTGTGGGTGACAGCTGCATTTGATCAGGGCCACAAGCAATGACTGGCTACCAGCCACGCCCTTTAAAAATCCTTCTTTTTAACTCAGAGGGAGGAAGGCAGGGCCCGAGCCCTCCAGAAAGGTTACAGCTGGCCTACATGGGCATATGGAGCAAACTGGGGACACTCCTGAGATGCAGCCATTGGACGCCACCTGGGAATAGGCAGCCATACAAGCCAAGGGTCCATGACTGCTATCCAGGCTTCACCTGGTGGCCTTTCTGGCTTTTCATGATAAGAGTCTCCCAGCCTTGGAGCTTGGTTTTCTGATTTCCCAACCTGTCCTGGCATGGGTGTCTGGGCCATGACCTGCCACTATTTTCTTATTTTATGGTGGCTGTAAGGGACCTGGAGGGAAGATATTATGGGGTAGGACCAGGGGACAGGGTCAACAGACTGAGGGAGAGAAGAGAGTGGGAGGGAAGAGGAGGGGAAGGTAAAGGAAAGGAAGAGAGAGGGAAAGGGAGATGGAGGAGGATGAAGGGGGAGCCTGGAACATACAACATGTTATAATTGCATACATATGCATGTGTGTCCATGTATATATATATATATATATATATATGATATGTATATATAGAGAGAACTCACACACAAGCTTATCTCTGTTTTCATAGCTATTTCTTCGTAGTGGATGGCTTTAATTTCAGTTCATGGCTACTGGGTTCATCTGCCTTTTCTCCACTTTCCTGTAACTCTTCTGTAACTCTTTTCTCCAACAATGGGAAGCCCAGCAATTTTACCTGCCATGTTTTCATACATAGGAAGCAGCTTCAGAATGGCCCTCTTATGTTTCCGTGAAAAGCTTCTTCCTCACAAGAGTAACAGAGTTCTTTAGTGGACACAGAGTCCAAATCCCGTAGCACCCATCCAAGTGCGGCGTGCTGTTTGTTTTCATAAACAAGCATGAACATGCTCTCCCTGCCAGGAAGTGAAGCATGACGTGCACAAGGGGAAAAACACATTTTCTTTCTAGACAGCAAGTGTTCTGCTTCCATTTTTGGGGGGAGATGGGGGGACCCCTGGGTCTTTCTACTTGAAAAGTGGCTCCTACCTAGCTCAGAATCCTAGCTACTCAGGAGGCTGAGATTTAAGGATCATGGTTCAAAGCTAGCTCAGACAGGGAAGTCCATGAGACCTGTAACTCTAATTCACAGCAAAAAGCTGGAACTGGAGCTGTGACTCAAGTGGTAGAGTGCTAGCCTTGGGTGAATAAGCTAAGGGGCAGCATTGTGTGTGTGCGCCCATACACAGACAAGATGCGTATAGAGTGGTTAAGAGTTCAGCAAACGGGAACCATAAATGCACAAGAAGAGAGATCCTAAAATATTCGCATCCACCATGATTGAGCTTGATGTTAGAGCTTTTGTCTAGCATTTTGATCCCCCAGCACAAAACAAACAACGAAAACCCAAAACTCTGTACAAACACATGTCATGAGAAGTCTTCCTGTGAATAGTATGTTAATTTAATTATTTAAAAACATCAGCATGAGGGTTTGGAGGTGTCACTCAGTTGGTAGAGAGTTAGCCAATGAGCAAAAACATCAGGTACTGGTTCAAGTCCCGGAGTCTGACCTAAACAAAAAGAATAGGAGGAGGAGGAGGAGGAGGAGGAGGAAGAGGAGGAGGAAGAGGAGGAAGGAGGAGGAGGAGGAGGAGGAGAAGAAGAAGAAGAAGAAGAAGAGAGAGAGAAAAGAAATAAAAATCAACCTGAGCTCTAGAGATGACTTGCATGAGTTATCAGTCACATTTCCATTTCTTTCTCTTCTAGGGTCAGAAAGCTTGGATCGAGAGAACCTTTTGCAAACGTGAATGTATCTTTATAATTCCCAGCACAAAAGACCCTAACAGGTAGGTTGGAAGCCATACTTGAGACCTGATGGCTTGTCCATCAGTTGCCTAGCAATGGCTCTTCTAGTGTTTGTAGGAGAAGGGAGTCCTTGCACGGGTCATTAACAAGGAATCCTTGGGCTGATAAGCACCTCTGGGAAGATGCAAATAGCCTTGGAAAAAAGTTTCTAATGGGGATTCTCCAAACCAGATGTGCCCCACAGCACACCTCTTAAGTCTTAGGGAGATCAAGGGCCTGAGGGTTGTAGACAGATTCCTAGCCTATCTTCTGGGACTCTTTAACAGAGTATTATAATTTATTTAGACAAAGAATTATTTCTATCACAGGAGAGATTGGAGTGCTTAAGCGCACTCAATAGAACTCTATGAAAAGGCTTAACGTGTGCACAAAATGTCTATCAGTCCCATTCACCTCTGTGCAAATGCATCTGCCGTAAGCTTCTGAAATCACCCAAGCCATCCGCGATGAATTTAGCTAAAACCTCTCATCTCCAGGGGGAAGAAGCGAAGAGGCTGAATGTGAAACCGGGGAGATGTGATTTGTCCCTGGATTCACCCACGAAATCCAGCCAAACAAGATCATGGGATCCGGGATACACAGGGCACAGATGCGTAGCTATTGTCTGATTCCGAGCTGTTGGACACATTAAATCACAGCGTCCCTGTCCCCACCCCCTCCCCTGACTCTACCCTACAGACATCTCTCCCTGCTTGAACCCCAGAGATTATCTTCCAAGACAACCAATGCCATAATATCAGTGCTCACCAAAGTCTTCTTTCATTGCACTTTAATGTCTTCCTTTGTATTTTAGTGCCCCCCACCCTCATTGATAGAAACTATCTATGGCAGTGTCTCCAGCCCCGCCCCCCCCGCACCTGCTAGTGCTGCAGCTCTACCCCCCCATATGTAGCTAAGGATGAGGAAGCGAAAGGGTGGAAGAGCTTGAGGGGCTCCCACACAGGCCTGTTCTGTGTCCCCCCCTCTCTAAGTGTCCCCCAAAAACAACAACTCTGTAAATCACCATGTAAAAATATACTCAAGAGAATAATGGAAGCATTGATGGAGAAGTTCTGGTACTCATACACGGACATGTGGAATTGAAACCCACTTGGACAACCACTTAAAGATATTTTAGGAAAGGACTGCAAGATAAATGGCCTCAGACAGCAAATGAAATTTCCATTCGAGAAAATTTATGCATGTAAACCTGGCACCCGTGATTTAAGCCTGTACTCCTAGGGACTCAGGAAGCTGAAATCTGAGGACCATGGTTCAAAGCCAGGCTGGGCAGGAGAGTCCACGAAACTCTTATCTTCAATTAACCCCCCCTCACACACACACCAAAAAAAAAAAAGCCAGAAATGGAGTCATGATTCAAGTGCTAGAATGCCAGCCTTTTTTTTTGTTGTTGTTGGTCACAGGTCTTGAACTCTGGGCCTGGGCACTGTCCTTGAGCTCCTCAGCTCAAGGCTAGTGCTCTACCACTTGAGCCACAGCGCCACTTCTGGTTTTCTGGTGGTTAACTGGAGATAAGAGTCTCTCAGACGTTCCTGCCAGGGCTGGCTTTGAACCACAATCCTCCGATATCAGCCTCCTGATTAGCTAAGATTACAGGCATGACCCACCAGTGCCCCACCCAGCTTTGTGTGTGTGTGTGTGTGTGTGTGTGTGTGTGTGTACGCATGCGCCAGTTCTGGGGCTTGAACTCAAGGCTTGGGTACCGTCCTTGAGATTTCGTGCTCGAAACTAGTGCTCTACCACTGGAGTCATAGCTCCACTTCTGGCTTTTTTTTTGGGGGGGGGGGGGAGTAGTTAATTGGAGATAAGAGTCTCAGGCAAGGTTTCCTACCTAGGTTGGCTTCAAACTGCACTCCTCAGATCTCAGCCTCCTGAGTAGACAGGATTACAGGTGTGAGGCACTGATTCCTAGCTACTTTGTGTTCCTTTCCAGGTGTTGCTGTGGCCAGTTCACCAACCAGCACATTCCCCCTCTGCCCAGCGCAACTCCCAGCAAGAATGGGGAGGAAAACAAACAGGTGGAAGTTCAGCCTGAAAAATGGTCCGTTGGCAAACACACGCAGAGCTACCCAACGGATTCCTATGGGATTCTTGAATTCCAGGGTGGTGGATACGTCAATAAAGCCATGGTAAGAGGGCACTTCCACACGGTGCCATGGAAAGAGGGAGTGGCCCCTGGGGAACACAGCTAGCTGTTCTTGGAGCTGATTTGTCAACGCACAGGCTTCCCATGCCTGGGTCTTCCCCATGGTGACGGTTCCATTGTTCTAGACATTTCACTGCAGAGCCAGGAAATGAATCAATGCTTGGGTTTTTATTTTTGTGTTGTTGTTTTTTTAACCATCAGACTTGGAAACTGGATATTATTTTGAAGAAGATGCAGTGTCTCTTCAATCCTGTTCTGGCCCAAGCTTCCAAATACATTCCATTGTACCACTCATTCTTTAAGTAATTGTACAAAAGAGTTGCCATTTAACGAAGCAAGTTTCTGAATAGAATATATCTTGATCAAAGTCACCCCTTTTAACATTCTCACCCACCAATCCTCTCCTACACACTTTTCCCCTTGTCTTCATTTTGTAGGCTAAACGTTGGATTATTTATGTATTTATTTTTGCCAGTACTGAGGCTTGAATTCAGGGCCTGGGCACTGTCTCTGAGCTTCTTTTGCTCACGGCTAGTACTCTACCGCTTGAGCCACAGCGCTACTTTTGGCCTTTCCTGTGTGTGTGTGGTACAGAGGAATTGAACCCAGGACTTCATACGTGCTAGGCAAGCGGTCTACCACTAAGACATATTCCCAGCCACACATTGGATTTTGCTTGTTTGTTTTTAGTCAGTCATGAAGCTTGCTCGCTGTCCCTCAGCTCTTCAGCTCAAGACTAGTGCTCTACCACTTGAGCTACAGCACCCCTTCTCATTTTCTGATGGTTTATTGGACATAAGAGTCTCACGGAGTTTCCTACCTGGGCTGGCTTTGAACTGTGATCCTTAGATCTCAGCCTCCTGAATAGACAGGATGACAGGCGTGAGCCACCGGCGCCCAGCATCACATTGGAATCTTCTTTATTCACCCCTTTCCCTTTGACCCCACCACACCCCTTTTGAGTACCCACTTCCTGGTGTTTTATTTTGCTGAACTTTGACTTTGCCTTTCTAAGGAATTGCACTATTTGAGTTCTCCCTTGCATCTATTGAATTTCAGCTAATACATTTGTATACACTTGCATACCACTGACCGTGTTTACTTAGACAAAGTTAAACCTAGCTTCTACATATAAGGGAAGCCATGTAGCCTTGTCCCACTGGGTTGGACTTACTTCACACAACACCATTTTTTCCCCCAGGTCTTTCTATTCCTTTACAAATGATACTATATCTTTCTTTCTAATGGATGTGTAAAATTTCATTGCGTATATATACCATGTTTTCTTGATCCATCCGTCCACGGAGGGGCATCTGGGCTGACTCCCTGCCTTGGCTGTGGTGATCATGCATTCTTTTGCAGTACATTCGCGTGTCCTATGACACCAAGCCGGATTTCCTGCTTCATCTCATGGTGAAGGACTGGCAGCTGGAACTCCCCAAGCTCTTAATATCTGTGCATGGAGGGCTGCAGAACTTCGAGATGCAGCCCAAGCTGAAGCAGGTGTTTGGCAAAGGCCTGATCAAGGCCGCGATGACCACGGGGGCCTGGATCTTCACGGGTGGCGTCAGCACTGGTAAGAGCAGACCCCTTCCCTCACCACCACCTGCTGTGGTCCCCAGAGAGCTTCCTAGTAATAATGGTCAAAAGACACAACAGATTGTATCCTGATCATAGTTGTGACAGCAGTGAAATCTTTATCCAGTGGGAGGTTTTCTTTGTCAGTCATGGGGCTTGAACTCAGGGCATGGGCGCTGTCCCTGAGCTCTTTTTTTGCTCAAGGATAGAGTTCTACCACTTGAGCCACAGTGCCATTTCTGGTTTTCTTGCAGAAAATTGGAGAGAAAGAGTCTCATGGACTTTCCTGTTCAGGCTGGCTTTGAACTACAATCCTCATAACTACTGAGTAGCTAGGATTACAGGCATGAACCACCAGTGCCAGGCTAAGTTTTATTGAGTTGGGGTGGGGGAAATACTAGGGCTTGAACTCAGGGCCTGAGTACTGTCCTTTAGTTTTTTTTGTATTGTTTTTTGTTGTTGTTGTTGGTCGTGGGGCTTGAACTCTGGGTTTGGGCACTGTCCTTGTGCTTTTCAGCTCAAGGCGAGCGCTCTACCACTTAAGCCACAGCGCCACTTCTGATCTCACAGACTTTCCTACCTGGGCTGGCTTTGAACCATGATCCTCAGATCTCAACCTTCTGAGTAGCTAGGATTACAGGTGTGAGCCACCAGTGCCTAGCTTGTCCTTTATTTTTTTTTAAGCAAGGCTAAGGCTCTACCACATGAGCCATAGCTCCACTTCTGGCTTTTTAGTGGTTGATTGGAGATAAAGAGACTTATAAACATTCCAGCCAGGGCTGGTTTTGAATCATGATCCTTAGATCTCAGCCTCCTGAGTGAGTTTTTTTTTTAATCCAGTGAGTTATGATAGCAAATATAATAACTGTTCATTGCCTTCTATTACGGCAACAAAACACCTGGAACCATCAACTTCAACAAATCAGAAAGGTTTATTTTGCTTCATAGTTGTAGATGTTTAGTCTATGATTGATTGGCCCCATTGCTTTGGGTCTGTCTGGCAAGAGTACTGGAGCAGAGAAAAACCCCATGGCCAGGCGCAGAAAAAGAGAAGATGCTGGAGTCCCCCAATCCTCTTCAAGTGTACACCCCAGTGAGCCACAGCTTATTCACCAAGTCTACTTCCCAGTAGTAGCGCTACGCTGGGGACCAGGCTTCAAACATTGGGCCTGAGGGAGATGCTCAAGATCCGAATCACAGTGGCAATGATCATGACGGTAATGGACATCTCCGGATCTCCACTGTGGACCGTTCCTGCGGCTGAATGCTGGATAAGCATCCTCCTCACCGAATCCATTGACCATCTTTCCTCCATTTTTTTTTAACCTTCACAAGGCAAACTGTCATTACCCTGGTCTATAAAGTTTGTGAAGTCTATGAGCTTTGACAATACAATGACTTCTTTCCTCCATTTCAAGGGAAGATAAACTGAGGCACAGAGAGGCTAGAGAACAAGGCCAGGTGATCCGGCTCTCACTTTCAGCTGAGTGTCACCAAGGCCTTCCAGAGAGATCCTTGGACCTTCTGTCTTTGGGCCATAAGAAGTGAATCTCGGCCCAGGGTCTTTTTTGGATGTTCTTGTTTTGTTTTGTTTCGTCTAGTCCAGGAGTTAAATCAGGGTTCATAATTATGATGAGCTCAGATGCTCATAAAGAGGAGCATATTCTATTCCTATGCCCTAGAGAATGGAGACAGGGTGGGTGAGGACTCAGAACAGGTGCACCTGGTGGTATCGAGGGGGAGTTGATGGCAATTCAAAGGGCTTTCGGCTTCTCACTTACTGCTACTCACAGGTGTCATCAGCCACGTGGGAGATGCCTTGAAAGACCACTCCTCCAAGTCCAGAGGGCGGGTCTGTGCTATAGGGATTGCTCCGTGGGGTATGGTGGAGAACAAGGAAGACCTGATTGGAAGGGATGTAAGTATTTCCTTTGGATGATGAGTTTTGACATGTAATGTCTGTCCTTGGAGATCATTATAGATTCACAAGGACTTATAAGAAATAACAAGCTGCCCGGTGTTGGTGGCACACGCTGGTGATCCCAGTTACTTTGGAGGCTGAGATCAGAGGACTGTAGTTCAAAGTCAGCCAGGGCAGGAAAGTCTGTGAGACTCTGATCGCCAATGGACCACTGGAAAACCAGAAGGGGCATGGTGGCTCAAAGTGGTCGAGCACTAGCCTTGAGTGAAAGAGCTCAGGGGCAGTGCCCAGGCCCTGAGTTCAAGACCCATGACCAACAAAAACGAAAAGAGAACAAAAAAGAAATAACAATCTTCCACTCATTCCATTAGCGGGTACTAGCTTGCAAAACTAGAACAGATGATTATTACCCAGATGGTAACATGATACAGTCAAGATTAAAAAAAAATCCAAGTCCCATCCCTCCTATTGCCTTTGATATCTATACTTAATTCCCTCCTGCCTCCACTTCCCCCTTCATCCCTGATAACCACTAAGGGGCTACACATCTTTATGATATTCTCACTTCAAGAATGTTCCAGAATGGGACCACACAGTATGTAACTCTGGAGGGATGGATTTTTATACACTCTCCTTTAACACTCTTATCCAGATTGTCAGGCGTATTCTTGGGTCCTTTCTTTTTCATGGCTGAGTGGTATTCTATGGACTGGATATACCAGAGGTGATTTAACCCATTTATCTGTTGAAGGATATCTGGGTTGTTAATAATTGCTCTGTTATTATAGAGCAGTTTTGCATTCATGGATTTCATGTTCGTGTACATTTTCATTTTTTTTCCTGTGACACAGATCATAGAGATAAATAGAACTGCTGGACATTTGCCATATAAAATAGTGATTTTTCTTCTATCTTACTGTAGTGAGGGGGAAGGGGGCCAGAGATGTGAGAGCAGGTGCAGTGCAGCTATTATGTGCAAATACGTTCTATGTCCTCCCGCAGCTCATCTTGCTAGCTTCCGTTCTGCAGCTCTGATTTGCGTTGTGTGTTTTGTCAGGTCACGCGAGTGTACCAGACTATGTCCAACCCCCTGAGTAAGCTCTCTGTACTCAACAATTCTCACACGCACTTCATCCTGGCTGACAACGGCACGCTGGGCAAGTACGGGGCCGAGGTGAAGCTGCGCCGGCAGCTGGAAAAGCACATCTCTCTGCAGAAGATCAACACGAGTAAGTGCTGAGAGGCGCAGGGTGCTGCCCCTGGGCGCAGAGCTCACCAGGAGAGCACGGGCTCAGGAGGAAGTTGCCCAGCTCTGGTGCTGAAATCTTTCACCTGGCTTCTTGCTAGATCAACAGAAAATGACCTACCTAGACCTTTTCGTCTCAGCCATCTGCCTAATTGTATACATGGCATGGCCAAGTCCTGCTTTGTCCAAATTCACGAGGTGGTGCAAGAAACAACTTGGTAGTGGTTGTCATGGTAATGGTTCTACACATCCCATTACCTGCCCTGGGTTGTTTTTATTTTTCCCCCCTGTAGTTGCCATGAGTATATTTGAAATATTTTAACAGGGGAGGAAAAGTGAATTCATAGTACGAGTCTTTCTATTAGACATTATATGATCGTTCACTGTGTAATTGGAGATGAGAGGCTCACAGACTTTCCTTCCCAAGCTGGCTTTGAACTGCGATCCTCAGATCTCAGCCTTCTGAGTAGCTAGGATGACAAGCATGAGACACTGGACACCTTGCTTATCAAACAGTTATTGAAGGATCTTAAAGAACATGTTGCTCTTGCTAGTAAATTGGTAGGAAAAAAATTGCTCGAGAGATGGGCTGGGAAGGTGGCTCAGTGGTAGAGCGCTTGCCTTGCATGCCTGAGGCCCTGGGTTCGATTCCTCAGCACCACATAAGCAAAAAGAAAAAAAGCCGGAAGTGGCGCTGTGGCTCAAGTGGTAGAGCGCTAGTCTTGAGCTGAAGAGCTGAGGGACACCAGGCCCAGAGTTCAGGCCCCACGACCCGACCCCCAAAAAAAAAATTGCTCGAGAGAATGGTAGGCTTGGGGAGACGGTGATTATAAAACCGAATTTAAGGATAGGATTGCTCAGGTGCTCCATGATTACTACAAAAAAACAAACAAACAAACAAGTTGTGGCTTCCTAAGCATCTGATCCAGTTGTGACTTGCTGGGATTTGTAAGTTTCCATGTCACCCCTGCTCCACCTGGTCACGTGACTTGTGGGCTTCCCTTTGTCATCCTTTGCCTAGGGTTCTGAGCAGGGCAGGGACAGCAAAGGGGTGCCCAGGTGTCACCTCCCACCACACAGAGGCAAGAAGAGCCGGCTCTGTTCTGTTTCTCAAAACAAAGATCATTTGGCCACCATCTTCCAGATGGCCTAAAATCCCAAGGGTATGGAAGGGTGACACTGGTCAAGATGTATTAAAATACAAAGCTCCAGACAGACAGAAGTAGTACATTGGAGGTGAATACAATTAATTATAATCATGAATAATTATACAGTCCAAAATCACTGAGAATCAATTTCCAGTGTGCTCACCACAAAAATGTATAAGAATTGGAGGTGACAGCTATGTTAATAATTATCCTGATATAATTATCTCACATTGTTCATAAATGTTCACATTGCTTTTTACCCCCCCCCACAAACTTAAAAAGCACTATAATTTCTTGATTTGTAATAAAAATAAACAAAGTCCCAAGGTTGCTTAAGTTGGAGATCTCAATGGCAGACTTTATGTCATCCTGATATATTTTCCAGTATCTCTTTCTGAGGCCTTGGCTCAAAGCAAGTCTTTAATACTTACTTTGCTAAAATGACCTTACCTATAATTATTCCAGGTCATTTGAAATAGTTCAACATTCCTGACAGTAGAAGTGCATTGTGGGAACGGAACCCACCCACTTGAAATTCTCGAGTCTTCTCAGGATCTGGGCTGGCAGATTTTATCTGAAACTCTTAAGAACTGTGGAGCTCGCATTTGTCATTTGTTCATAGTGATCCATTACTTCCTCTTACAAGTAATGGTGAGACAAGATGGCCAGCCCCCTGCAGCCACAGGCTCTGCCTCAGAGACTGGACCAACTACTGATGGAAAAATCTCTGGGAGAAGATATTCTTCACTGAATATACATGGAAGGGTTTTCTCTAGTCATGGTTCCTTAAACAGCACAGTAGAAGAACTTTTTGTATAGTATATTGTATATTTATACCATATTACTTATTTTAAGCCACATCAAGATGATTCAAAGGATATTGGGCATTGGCTATTAAAAATTCTTGCTACACAAAAGGCTGAGATCTGAGGATCGCAGTTCCAAGCCAGCCTGGGTAGGAAAATCCATGAGACTCTTATCTCCAGTGAACCAGCCAAAAGCCACAAGTAAGGGTGTGGCTCAAGGGGTAGAGCACCATGAGCCGAAAAAAGCTAAGGGATAGTGCCCAGGTTCTAGCTTTTGAACTGGCTCACACATACCAACTGGACGAGCTAGGAGAAGGACACTGTACATTGATCCAGACTCTTGACTGTGGTTTGCGTTGTAGGACTGGGCCAGGGAGTGCCGGTTGTGGGCCTCGTGGTGGAAGGGGGCCCGAACGTGGTTTCCGTGGTCTTGGAATACCTTCGGGAAGATCCTCCCATCCCAGTGGTGATTTGTGATGGCAGCGGGCGAGCTGCAGACATTTTGTCCTTCGCACACAAATACTGTGAAGAAGGAGGGTAGGCGGGGCCACGGGACAGAGGGTGGAAGCTCAATGCCACCGTGTTAGGCCACGGAGCACTTCTGAAGTGGCCTTCTTAGACATTCCTAGACCCGTGTGTGTGTGTGTGTGTGTGTGTGTGCGCGCGCGTGTGTGTGCGCGTGTGTGTGTGTGTGTGTGTGTGTGTGTGTGTGTGTATTGGGGCTTTAACTCAGGGCCTCTGGCTGTCCCTTGGCTTTTTTTTGCACAAGGCTTTTTACCACTGGTACCACAGTCCCAGCTCAGGATTTTTCTGGTTAATTGGAGATAAGAGCCTCACAGACTTTCCTGCCCAGGCTGGCTTCAATCCACCATCCTTACATCTCAGTATTGTCCTGTGTAGCTAGGATTACAGGCATGAGCCCTTGGCACCTGGCTAACACAGTGACAACTATTTTTTTTTTAATCCTAGCATTTTTTTTCATTAAAAAAAAACTTTTATGCAGAGATACCTTCCAATAACAAAGTTCCAAATAAAAGATACTACTGGGCGCGGGTGGCTCACACCTATAATCCTAGCTACTTAGGAGACTGAGATCTGAACAGTGTGATTCGAAGCCAGAAAACTAGGAAATCACCAGAAAACCAGCAGTGGCGCTGCAGCTCAAAGTGGTAGAGCGCTAGCCTTGAGAGAAAGAGCTCAGGGATGGTACCCAGGCCCTGAGTTCAAGCCCCACAACCAACCAAAAAGAGGGCACCTGGTTGTGGGGAGAACCTGGTGGGGTGGTCCAGTGAGCAGGGTCGACATGCTATGTTTTGTTCTTTTTCATCTGTGTTTTGTTCTCCTTCGTCTCTTTTGAACAGGGGCATAAACGAATCCCTCAGGGATCAGCTTCTCGTTACCATTCAGAAAACATTTAATTATAGCAAGAGCCAGTCTCATCAGCTGTTTGCAATCATCATGGAGTGCATGAAGAAGAAAGAACTTGTTAAGTGTCTTGAATTTATTTTCAAACACGCTCTGGAGAGACTTTTGTTGTTGTTGTTTTTCAAGAGACAATTTACAAATGCATACCAAACTGGCAGACAAGAGGGGAGGGCTCCCCCAGTAGCTCAGTGAAGTGTGCAACTAGGAGGTGATGTCATACCACGTCGCACAAACGGAGAGGTTTACAATAGGAATCGGATCAGATCGAAAGACTGGGGGGAGAAGACTTAGCATCCCTTGTAAGAGGTGCTTGCAAAGTCAGAAGAATTTCACCTCCCAAGTTCCAGTCTCTGACTAACTCTTCCTTCCCTAGCTGTGTTTACAAGGAATCAGAACTTACAATGCAGATAAGGGTGATATTCTCAAAATTCGCAATCTGCGAATTTCCTCTAAGCTCATCGTATCTGATTAGATAGGATTTTATCATTTCAATTTTTCTTTTCTTTTCTGGTCAATGACCAGGATTCAAACTCAGTACTTCATGTTTTTGCTCATCAGCTAGTGCTCTACCAACTGAACCATGCCTCCAATCCCAGAATTTTATGGTTTCAGATGGCTCTTTGGATTGTTTTTCCTGGAGATAGAAAACAAATGGTTTAAAATTGTTTAGTTCTGAAAATCATTTGTGAGTGGTTTTTGTTCTATTTTAGGTTTTTTTGTTCTGTTTTGTGCCAGTACTGAGGCTTGAACTCAGAACCTCACACTTAAATTCCTCCCCTCCCCCTTCAAGGCTAGCACTCTACTACTTGACCCACAGCTCCACTTCTGGCTTTTTAGGTGGAGATAAGAGTCTCACAGACTTTCCTGCCCAGGCTGGCTTTGAACTGTGATCCTCAGATCTCAGCTTCTTAAGTAGCTAGGATGACAGGCATGAAGCATCTTGTTTTATTGGCAGTACTGGGGTTTGATCTCACGATCTCACAGCCTTGTACTCACCACCACATACCTTCAGCTTTGTGATTGTTTTTTTTTTTTAAACACCTCAATTCACCCTTATTCTCAACCTCAACCTCAATTCAATCTGTTTTGGGTTCACTTGTTCCAGGTCACCGTGTTTAGAATGGGTTCTGAGGGGCAGCAGGATGTCGAGATGGCCATTCTAACCGCCCTCCTGAAAGGTGAGCTCTTGAGAACGCTACTCCTGTCCGTCAGTGCTCGGCTGGGCTGGGCTTTGCCTATGACCTATGTCCTATTGGGGATAGAGCCTGCCGGCTGCCTGGGGTGACCTTGGCATGGCGAGGGATGGAATGACAAGACTCGGAGCTGGTTTCTACAAAGCTGCTTTCTATAGGGTTCTTTGAAAGACTGAGAACTTTTGCTTAGGAGATACAAAACTTTTTTTTTTCTATGTGTGCCAGCCCTGGGACTTGAACTCGGGGCCTGGGTGCTATCCTTGAGCTTCTTTTCGCTCAAGGCTAGCCTTCTACCGCTGGAGCCACAGCTCTACTTCCGACTATTTGGTAGTTCCTTTGAGATAAGAGTCTCATGGACTTTTCTGCCCTGGGCTGGCTTTGAATCATGATCTTCCAATCTCAGTCTCCTGAGTAGCTAGGATTACTGGGTGAGCCAGTACCCAGCTAAAACATATTTTTTGTTGTTGTTGTTATTGTCAGTCATGGGGCTTGAACTCTGGGCCTGGGTGCTGTCCTTGAGCTCTTTAGCTCAAGGCAAGTGTTCTACCACGTGAGCCACAGCACCACTTCTGGTTTTCTGGTGGTTTGTTGGAAATAAGAGTTCTGATTTTCTGGTGGTTTGTTGGAAATAAGAGTCTCACGGACTCTCCTACCTAGGCTGGCTTTGAACCGTGATCCTCAGATCTCAGACTCCTGAGTAGCTAGGAGCACAGGTATGAGCCCCCGGTACCTGACTAAAAACATGTTCTCATTTGTGGTTCACAGAGTCCTGTCCAATTATCTTGTTAATGACAGGCTTCAACCAGGGGCTCACAGGGTAGGGTCCACTTTGGGGAGTACATTTCCTCCCTGATTCATCTGGACTGGGGCCACAAGGAGGTACAGAGGAGAGAGGCAGGGGGCTCTGCGGCCTGGCTGCCTGGCAGGGCTGGGGATTGGTCATTCTTGGCCCAGCCTGGCATCCATTCTCAGGCTCCTGCCCCCTTGAAGGTCTTGAGTCAATGGGCTCCTCCTTCACCCTTCCCAAAGAGCCTGCAAAGAACTGGCCGGGTGAGAGTTTCATCTGCTTTCCTTCCAGAAAGTTCTGGAAACTATGGAGTTGTTCTCCTTGTTTCAGGGCCCATTAGTTCAGGGACAAGAGGAGAGGCAGCGATGGATACTCAGATAATGACAAAGCAGGGTGATCCAAGGTAGGAAGTGGAAAAAAAAATGGCTCTCATGTCTTGTCTTTCCAGGAACCAATGCTTCTGCTCCAGACCAGCTGAGCTTGGCTCTAGCTTGGAACCGAGTGGACATCGCGCGAAGCCAGATCTTCGTCTTCGGGCCCCATTGGCCGGTGAGATGAGATTTTTTGTTTTGTTTTCTGTTTGTTTTCCAATTCATATCATTTGTCATGACCTTGTACCGATGAGGCTTTACTATGTCCTCCCTTGTGACACAGATCTCAGGAAACCATCTCTGTGGTTTCTGTGCGTTGGTTGGGTGATCCCTTAAGATTATTAAAAGACATCGTTGCTTAACAGGCTCACACCTGTCATCCTAGCAACTCAGGAGGCTGAGATCTGAGGATTGCAGTTTGAAGCCAGCCCAGGCAGGAAACCCTATGAGACTCTTATCTCCAATGAACCACTCAAAAACCGGAAGTGGAGGTGCTGTGGATCAAAGTGGTAGAGCACTAGCCCTGAGCAAAAATTGCTCAGGGACAGCAGCTAGTCCCTGAGTTCAAGCCCCACAACCAAAAGGGAGAGGGTGGAAAGGACAAGAGTTCCCACTCCAGTCTCTGGCCTCCTGTCTCACTGGGTGATTGCTTCCTCTCACAGCCAGGGGCCTCCCACAGAGCTGGGGCCCTGTGGGTTTAGACTTGTCAGTCTCTGAAACTGTAATCTAAACAATGTTTTTATTATAACATGCCCAGATTCAGGTATTTCAGACTAATACAGGCTTACTGAATCACTAAATCATGCACGTAGAAATGCTGGGAGTTCACAGAGGGAACTCCGGGAAGAGCGGTGAGCTGTAGCTAGAAAGAAGCTGTTGGACGATAATGGTGATTTGGTGGATGTGCTTATGGGCACATCTTCGTGGTATAGGCATCAACAAGATCAATGAGATTAAAGGGGAAAGGAAGAAGGTTAAGAGTAGAGTCTAGAAGAGTCTTGATGTTGAGAAGCAACTCCTGTAATCCTAGCTACTCAGGAGGGTGAAATCTGAGGATTATAGTTCAAAGCCAGCCCAGGCAGGAAAGTCCATGAGACTCTTATCTCCAATGAACCACCAGAAAACCGGAAGTGGCATTGTGGCTCAACATGTCAGAGGGCTCACTTTGAGCAAAAAAGCTCAGGGACAGTGCCTAGGCCTTGAGTTCAAACCCCACAACCAACAAAAACGAAAAAAAGAAAGCAAGAGGGAAGGAGGGACAGCCTCACCTGGTTTATGTTGTTCTGACAAAATACCTGAATCTGAGTGTGTTATAATAGAAAGGTTTGTGTAGATCACCAGTTCTGGAGACTAAAACGTCCAAACCACATGGCCCCAGCTCTGTGGAGGGCCTCTGGCTGCATCACCAGATCCAGGAGATAGTCGTACTTCTACTCCCCCTCCTGTTTCCTCAGAGAGAGAGCCCATGCTAAGCTGATGTCTCCAGTTAATCACCATGTCATATTCAATGCCATGACACCCCTCAGAGATCACCTACCCAGCAATAAGTTCACCCATTGGCTCCAGACAGCATCCAAGGCGATGTCTTCTGTCTCTGACCCCCTCACAATCATGTACCATCATTCGATGCCTGTGGGCACATTTACTTGGTGCCTTTGCACTTAGTGCAGCACCCTTTCCTTTATGCACACATGCACATCAATCAGAAGGCCAGCCACTTTGAATACACAAAGCTATTAATTCAAGCTAAGTATATATTTGTGCATAATATATAAGGTATGACCTAGGATATATAAAATCCACAAGCAAAGAGCCTTCACAGGTAGCCCAGACTGCAATGAGTTGGTGTTTGTGTATGTCTGTGTGTGTGTGTGTGTGTGTGTGTGTGTGTGTGGTGTGTATGACATTGCATTTGTGCACCAGTGATTTTTGTTTGATTATTGCCTGGGGTTTGAACTCAGGGCTTGGGCTCTATCCTTGAGCTTCTTTTGCTTAAGGATAGAGCTCTAGCATGTGAGTTACTGCTCCACTTCTGGCTTTTTTTCTTTTCCTTTCCTTTTGGTAGTTTAGTGCAGATAAGAGTTTCATAGTCTTTCCTGCCTAGACTGGCTTTGAACCTCAGTCCTCAGATTTCAGCATCCTGAGTGGCTAGGATTCTAGGCATGAGGCACTGGTTAGCATTCGTGTTTTGTATGTATGTATGTGTGTGTGTGTGTGCGTGTGTGTGTATATATATAATATATATGTATATATTATATGTATACTCACACCCATGCTTGTGGGTATATGCTTGCTGTGTATATGTATATGTGTGCATGTGTATATGCTTGTGTATGCACTAGGTATATGTAGAAACAGAAATGGAGAGTCAATATACTTGTCTTGGGCCAGGGGTAATCTTACTACCCTTTGCTAACTCTGCCTGCCGTGAATTGCAGCCTCTCGGTAGCCTGGCCCCTCCGGTGGATAGCAAAGCTACAGAGAGGGAAAAGAAGCCACCTACAGCCACCACCAAGGGGAGAGGAAAAGGAAAAGGCAAGAAGAAAGGGAAAGTGAAGGAGGAAGTAGAGGAAGAAACGGACCCCCGGAAGATCGAGCTGCTGAACTGGGTACGTGGGAAACCTCCTCATCTGGTTCTTGGGACCAGGGAAACCAGAGTTTGCATCACATCTCTTCCTAAAGGAAGAGATAGTTCTTTTGTTGTTGTTGTTGTTGTTTTGTTTTGTGCTAGTATTAGGGCTTCAACTCAGGGCCTGGGCACTGTTCTTTAGCTTTTTTGCTCAAGGCTGGCAACTCTACTTGAGCTGCAGCTCTACTTCCAGCTTTTTGGTGGTTGGTTGGAGATAAGAGTCTCATGTCTGCCTGGGTTCGTTTCAAACATCAATCTCAGATCTTAGCCTTCTGAGTAGCTAGGATTACAGGAGTGAACCACCAGCACCTAGCTCAATTTATTTTTAGAAGGAAATAATCTAGCTGGGCCCAATGGCGCACGCCTATAATCCTAGCTACTCAGGAGGCTGAGATCTGAAGCTCACAATTCAGAGTCAGCCTGGGCAGGGAAATTCATGAAACTCTTATCCCCAGTTCACCAGCAAGAAGTCAGAAGTAGAGGTGTATAGCAAATGGTAGAGAATCAGCTAAGGAATAGTGTCCAAGCCCTGAGTTCTAAGCCCAGAACTGGCGTGTATACACGTGCACGTGTGTATGCACGCATATACAATCTTCTACAAGGTTTGCTAGAACTAAGCAGTTCCAGACTGAGAAGAAAGGACAAAAGAGATGAGGTGTGTTTACAGAAGCAAAACATCAGAGACCCATGGTCTGAGGGTGAGCCTCAAAGGTAGAGCCCCAGGTTAGATTCCACCACTGGGGAATATAAAAGCATAGAGAACCATATTCAAAACAGTCCAGGCTCCTCTGTGGGGTGGGGGGCTCAGAATACCCTCTCTGTGTTCTTTCCAATCTACCTCCTGACTGGTATTTCCGTAATACAGGTGAATGCTTTGGAGCAAGCCATGCTGGATGCTCTAGTCTTAGATCGAGTTGACTTTGTGAAGCTCCTGATTGAAAATGGAGTGAACATGCAGCATTTCCTTACCATTCCCAGGCTGGAGGAGCTGTATAACACAGTGAGTGTCCCACAAGGAGGGAGAGTGAGAAGAGCTAGCCCTCAGAATCCTTTATCCTTGTTGCCCATTGCGCAAAACTGTGGCATCAGGGGGACAAGGTTTCAGCCCAGAGGTTCATGATGAATAAGAACAGGTTGCCATGTCTCCCTGGTGGTTTGGCATAGCTATGTTCCCATCAAGTTCTGCCATGCCTTTCCAGGCAATACCTTCTGCCATAGGCTTATACCCTGATTAAACCCATCGTAAGTCAAAGGTATCATCATGTCAAGAATGCATTCACAGCTAAGCTACCGAATACCATAGTTTAGCAACGTAACGCTATACAGTGTTCCGCCTGCAATTATGGGGCCGGTCACAGGTTGTAGTCTCTGCCCAGCACAGAGAGGAGGTTGGACAGACTATCATTAGCCAAAGGAAAAGGTTAGAAAAAAGTGTAGTTTCTTTTAAATGTACAAATTGCTTTTGCACCATCATAAAACCTAAAAATCCAAAGTCAAACCACCTTCAGAGACTTTCCAGAGTAATAACTACACTTGGGAAGTGAAGAGACTCTCACTGAGTTGTTAGCAGACTACAAAGTTACTAAATGGTCAGTTGATTTTCTTTACAATCATCATGTTTTTATGAGGCTTCAGTGAAAAACACAGATCTCATCCAGGTGCCAGGGGCTCATGCATGTCATTCTAGCTACTCAGGAGGCTAAGAGCTGAGGATCTGGCTTGAAGCCAGCCCAGGCAGAAAAGTCTAGGAGACTCTTATCTCCAATGAACCACCAAAAAAGCCAGAAGTGGACCTGTACAGCTCAAGTGGTAGAGCACCCAGGCCCTGAGTTCAAGCCCTATGTACTGGCACACACCTGCAAAAATAAAATTATATACATCACAACAAGGATCTCTGCTATATTAGGATGGAAGTGATTTGAATGAAATCTCCATTGGTTATATTATCATAATATGTATTTGGATAATTTATGCTCCCTTCACCCTCTTGAGATTTTTCAAGGACAGAAATGGCAATCACTTGCTATTAACCTTATGTAAATATTTCAAAAATAAATATTTCAAAAATAAATCAAGAAAAATAATTGTTCACATATATTTGCTCACAATTGATACTTCCTTACTCCAACCAGTTTTGTCTTAAAAACGGAAACAGGTCAAAAAGGGATTATGCCCCACTTTTATAAATCATTAATTCTACAAAAGAGGGAAGAATTTTGTCCCAGGAGTTGAAGAGGAAAACTTAACTTCATATAGCCAATTGCTTCTCTTTCAGAGGCTGGGCCCACCAAACACACTTCATCTGCTGGTGAGGGATGTAAAAAAGGTCAGTCTGTCCACAGTTTTACAATCCTTACTATTGACATCTTTTACTAAACATTTCTTAAAAAGCAATGATTAAGGCTGGGAAGGTGGCTCAGTGGTAGATTACTTGCCTTGCATGCATGAGGCCCTGAGTTCAATTCCTCAGCACCACATAAACAGAAAAAGCCAGAAGTGGCACTGTGGCTCAAGTAGTAGAGACTAGCCTTAAGCTGAAGAGCTGAGGGACAGCACCCAGACCCAGAGTTTAAGCCCCACAACAACAATAACAACAAAAGCAATGATTACTTTTGTTGCTGTTGTTGGTCATAGGGCTTGAACTTAGGGCCTGGGCACTGCCCCTGCACTTCTTTTGCTCAAGATTAGCACTCTACTGCTTTGAGCCACAGTGCCACTTCCGGTTTTCTGGTGGTTCACTGTAGGTGAAAGTCTTCTAGACTTTCCTGCCTAGGCTGGCTTTGAACCATGATCCTCAGATCTCAGCCTCCTGATTAGCTAGGATTACAGGCATGAGCCACCAGTTCCCAGCTTTGATTGCTTTCTTAAATGTGTTATCTTATTATTATTAGAGCCTCCCCCATTTTTTTCATTAACAAAAAGTTAAACTTGGAAAGAGCCAAGTTTGATGGTGCACATTTGTAATCTCAGCACTCAGAAGAGTGAAACAGGAGGATCCCAAGTTTGGGGTCAGCTTGAATAACATGGTGAGAAATAAACAACAAAATTAAATACAACAAAATAAATAAAAGTAAAAAAAAAAGTCCCTGAAATGACATTATCCTTCTTAGGTTTTACATGCATCCTTACACCACGGAAACACACCGAATGACTTGATGAGGGCTGAGCAGCAGCCAGGGTAGCCTCGTTTTCTACATCTACTTTCACACCTCTGACTCATCACAGACTCCTTCTAGAATGTTACTAAGCAGGAGGAGCTTCAGTTCACTTGGTGTGGCTCCCAGAAAATCTCACAGCTCTGAGTCCCCTCACCATTAAGGGACATGTCCTCTCCTCCCTTTCTCCTGCTACCCACGACCATAGTCTGTATTCCTGAAGGGTCTCACTCAGTCAGTGTCCTGACCCAGCATTCACTCACTGTCCCCACAAGTTAGAGGATTCGGCTGGGCTCCCCCCATGAGTGATTCATTTGCTAGTCCCAGGCATACAGAGTTTAAAATGTAAGCTTATACTCTGAACTCAAAGGAGGGAATAGGGCTCTCTCTGTCTCTTTAACTCTCTGTCTTTCTGTCTCCTTGTCTGTCTCTGTCTCTTCCTCTCTCTTTTCTCTTTCCTCTATCTCTGTTTGTCTCTTTCTCCTCCTCCCATCTCTGTCTGTCTCAGAATCCTAGATAGCTTGAGTATACTTCACACAAATATTAAATCCTCTTAATAGGAAAATATGCTTCTGAAGACACTAATAGAAAAGAACCAAATAGATGGATCTGGAAATCAAGAGGGACTTCTTAGACCTCCCAAGAGGCGTGGTTATGTTCCACATAAATATTCTGATATCCATCAGGCACTGGTGGCTCACACCTGTCATCCTAGCTATTCAGGAGGCTAAGATCTAAGGATCGTAATCAAAGCCAGCCCGGGCAGGAAAGTCCAGGAGACTCTTATCTCCAATGACTCACCAGAAAACCAGAAGTGGTGCTGTGGCTCCAAGTGGTACAGTGCTAGCCTTGAGTGGAAAAACTCAGAGACAGTGACTAGGTCCTGCGTTCAAACCCCATGACTGACCGTAAAAAAAAGTTCTGGCATCCCCTGTCAGACCCAATAGAAAGATAGATGGGGAAAATGAATCCTTGTAAGGAAGTTCAGGTCTAATCATTTCCTGACCTGACTTCAATGATTTCTCCCTTTGTCCTCTAGAAACCCCTTCCCCCATTCCCTGCCCCCATGTTGCCAAGTGACAGTGGCTCACATCTGTCATCCTAGCTACTCAGGAGGCTGTGATCTGAGGATGACAGTTCAAAGCCAGCCCATGCAGGAAAGCCTGTGACATATCATTAAAAAAAAAGTAGCAGTGGAGCTGTGGCTCAAGTGGTAGAGCACTAGCCTCAAGTACAAAAAAGAAAAAAAGCTTAGGGACAGCGCCCAAGTGCTGAGTTCAAGCCCCAGGACTGGCACACGTACACAAAATTTCCAATGTCTTCCAAAGGTCCTTCCAAGAAATATGGGCCTCATTGGGCCTGTCTCACATTTATGGCCTTACTCTTTTTCCATACAACTAAAATCCCCATGGAGATTCTGCTGCCTGCTGATTCCCAGGCCACACCTTGTACATGCTAGTGGCCCTCTGCGTCCTCTGGCCCTGTGCCACTTGCAATTGGATAAACCACAGGTGTCACTTTCTCCTGAAAGCCCTCTCTTCCTCTCCCTCGCAATGGCCACACCCAGGATAGAGTCAAGAATTCCTTCTCGCATTCTACATGCTTGGCACCCAGCTGTTGAGTGAAGACAGTCTCAGACCAGAGCAGTATCTCCTTGTTGCTAATAAGACATCCCCAGCATAGCCAAGGATCTTGGTAGGAGACACACAAACACGCAACACGAGAGCGCTGCGTTTTATCCACGCGGTCATTGTGAATGGAGGCTATGTGGAACGAATTTCCCAGCAATGCATCCCAAGATGCCTACAGCCGTCGTCTTGGCTCTTTGAGATTAACATAGCAATGTGGCCATTCAGATGGTCTTTATACACAGCTGGGCCCATTGGGTATGTCAGCTAGTCCAGGATGGGAATGAGTGATGGTGAATTCATGGGGTACCTCTCTTCAGGCCTGTTCTCTCCTGGAGGGAAATGGCTGTCCCCCAACGTCCTCATATGGCATCTTTATCCTGCATGAAATCTGGCCCCTGGCTGGCTTCTCCCTGCTGTTCAAAGGATCTTTTCATCCAAGCCGATTGGCTCTTAGGCCACAGCTGTATCATCACACTGTTTCCTTCACATCTGTGCATGTCAGCTACAGCCCCGTCTGTCAGGCCAGGAACCTATTTGGCCATCCATCCTATAGCCATGCCGCTTTCTTTCTTCTTAGAAAAACTCAACTCAACTTCTGGAATGTAGTTCAACCCATCAGCTCCCTCCCTTATAGGCAAACACTACCTATTGTCTAATTCATGTTCTATTCCCTGAGCTCGCAAGTTGGGGATAGGATGAAGACTTCTACCCAGGGGTGTGTGTGTGTGTGTGTGTGTGTGTGTGTGTGTGTGTGTGTGTGTGAGCGTGATGATGTCACATGTGTTCGCCTCACAGGACTCCACCCTAACCTTCTTTTCTTACAGAGCAACCTTCCCCCGGATTATCACATCAGCCTCATTGACATCGGGCTGGTGCTGGAATACCTCATGGGCGGAGCCTACCGCTGCAACTACACCCGGAAGAGTTTTCGGACTCTTTACAACAACTTGTTTGGGCCTAAGAGGGTAGATCTCGATGTGGGGGGGGGGGAGGGCGAGAAAGCAATGTTGGGTGCTTCCCCAGAGTGCCACGTGGTTCCCTGTCATGCTTTCCTATAACTTGGCCTGTTTAAAGCCCCATCCCCAAGCACCCCTGCCTTGACTCCCTCGGTGATTTCCTGTTGTAAGGCCTCCTCAGCCCCAATACCTAGCTTCATGCACGCTCATCCTCCATACCCCCTAGCAGAAGGGGTGCCCTTAGATCCAGAGCACCACTCTACCACGTCAGCTGTTATCATCTGCCAAAGCACGGGACACAACAGGACACCCCCTTTCCCCCACCCCCCGCCACTGCCTAAAGAATTGTGACCCCATATTATCATCACAGTATCTAAGGCTCTCGGTCAACTGTCCCTACCCCAGTCCAATACATCACCCACTCCACCAAAACCCAATTGTATTCCTATGCCCACCAGGACTCCTTCTTCCAGGGGGGTTTTCCGAATCCTTCCCTTACCAAAAGCCCAGTTCAAATGTATTATTACCTTAGCTGGGCACTGGTGGCTCATGCCTGTCATCTTAGCTACTCAGCAGGCTGAGATCTAGAGAAGGAAGGTTCTAAGCCAGGCAGAAAAGTCTATAAGGTTCCATCTCCAATTACTGGGCAAAATGCCAGACTGGAGGTGTGGCTTAAGTAATAGAGCACCAGCCATAAGCAAGGAAGTTGAGCGTGCATGAGGCTCTGAGTATTCAAGCCTAGTATTAGTGTACGAGCATGTGTACATGCACTCTGGCCCTCCCCCACACCCTTGTGCATGTGCATGTGCGCGCATGTGCACATAAACACACACACACGCTCACTCACACACACACAGGTCCTAACTATGATGGAGCTTTCCCATCAGCCCTGACTCCATGGCTGTCATTAGGAGCTTTGGCTGGGAACATTTTTGGTTCTCCTGCCTGCAATAGCAAGTATGTGTCTGTCTTTCTCCTCAACTGACTTCTGATGACAGAAACAATTTCCATATACATTTATGTCTTTTCCTTGGCTACTGTCACTAATCAGTAATAAGGCAAAGCATTTTCAACTAACTGCTAGCATACATACTGACTGTTGTCTGAATAACCGATCTTTCCTCCTCTTTCATTGTGCAGCCTAAAGCTCTGAAACTTCTGGGAATGGAGGTAAGTAGAACTTAATTTTTTAAGTGATTTTATGATATCTTAGTCAACATATGTGTGTGTATTCAGATAATATTTAACATAAAACTGAGCAAGTTTGTTCCCCATGAATAAGTTCACTAAACAACCCAGCAAAATCTACTTAAATGCCTTGACCAAATGGTATAAAAAGATCACACACATTTCTTTTTTGTGCTAGACATGGGGCTTGAACTCAGGACCTGGATGCTATTCCTTGAGCTTTTTTGCTCAAGGCTAGAGCTCTACCATTTTGAGCCACAACTCCTCTTCTATTTTTTGGGGGGGTGGTTAATTGGAGATAAGAGTCTCATGGACTCTCCTGGCTGGGCTGGTTTTAAGCCACGATCCTCAGATCTCAGCCTCCTGAGTAGTATAGGATTACAGGTGTGAGCCACCAGTGTCTGCCTTCTTCATTCTCGTGTAGCCTTCTGCCTCCATTTCAACTGTGGGGCAGGTCTTAGTTTATCAACTTACTTTACCATCTGCAAGTATCTAGGACTGCTTTGCTATTAACCCATATCATTTTGTTACACATTTAGGAAGAATCATGAAAACAACATGTTTTTTTCCCTCCCCTTAGGATGATGAACCTCCCACCAAAGGGAAGAAGAAGAAAAAGAAGAAAAAGGAGGAAGAGATCGACATTGATGTGGACGACCCGGCTGTGAGTCGATTCCAGTACCCGTTCCACGAGCTGATGGTGTGGGCCGTACTGATGAAGCGCCAGAAGATGGCCATCTTCCTCTGGCAGAGAGGGGAGGAGAGCATGGCCAAGGCCTTGGTGGCCTGTAAGCTCTACAAGGCCATGGCCCACGAGTCCTCGGAGAGCGAGCTGGTGGATGACATCTCCCAAGACCTGGACAACAATTCCAAGTCAGTGTCTAGAAAATCTAAAGGGCCTAGTGAGACTTGTGTCCTAACTACTTGTGCCCTTCCCTGCAAGGATTGTTATTATAATTATATATTATATATAATTTATATATTTTTATATATTTGTATACATTTTATATACATTCATATATATTATATTATATAGAATTTATTATATATAATATAATAACTATGCAACAGTAATACATAATATACAATTATTATATAGATATATTAGTATGTAATATAGTTATAATATTATAATACTATTATTATTATTCTCACTGAAGGACTATTATGGTTAAAGCTTTGCCCATCAAGTCAGGATTTTTTTTTCTTGTTGGTCCTAGGGCTTGAACTCAGGGCCTGGACACTGTCCCTGAGCTTTTCTGCTCAAGGCTAGCATACTACCACTTCAAGATACTTCCAGTTTTATGGTGGTTAACTGGAGATAAGAGTCTCATGGACTTTCCTGCCTAGGCTGGTTTCAAACCACAAACCTCAGATCTCAGCCTCCTGAGTAGCTAGGATTACAGGAGTGAGCCACCGGGCACCCAGCTGAGAAGCAGATTTGAGGCTAACCCAAGTTCTATTTGTAGGAGGAGCAGTCAATCTCCAACCCAACTGCTCATGGAGTCCCTGCCCTGGCCATCTCAACAAGCATTTTGCAGCAAATACCAAAGCTCCTTCTGACCCTCGACTCTGTGTCCTGCAGCTCTGTAAGTCCCTGTGAACATGAATCAAAAGAGAGAGTTCAAGGCCACCTCCACCTCTTTCTTTGCAGAGACTTTGGCCAGCTTGCGGTGGAGTTGTTAGACCAGTCCTATAAGCACGATGAGCAGATTGCCATGAAACTTCTAACCTACGAGCTAAAAAACTGGAGCAACTCAACCTGCCTCAAGCTGGCTGTGGCAGCAAAACATCGAGACTTCATTGCTCATACCTGCAGTCAGATGTTACTGACTGACATGTGGATGGGAAGGCTTCGGATGAGGAAGAACCCAGGCCTTAAGGTCAGTGTGACACAGTCATTAGACTGTGAGAACCATGGTGACAAGCGATGGAGCACACGGCTGAGCCCTGAGTCCCTTCTCATGCCATTTCTCTAAAACTTCCGTGGACAGTCTTAAATGTTTCACTGTCTGTGATTGTACCCATGTAGAAGGCACAAAATGGTCCAGGGTAGGGCTAACCATCACCCAGGAACCCTAGATCCTTGGTTAAGAAGATTATCATTTGAAATCTGCAGCGAGACCTTCAACCCTCCACACCCAAAAGTTTCACCTCCTCAGATTCAGCCAACCTCAGATCAAAACACTGCATCTCAGGCTAGGTGCCAATGGCTCACACCTGTAGTCCTAGCTACTCAGGAGGCTGAGATCTATTGATCATGGTTCAAAGCTAATCTGGGAAGGAAAGTCCATGAGACTTTTATCTGCAATAAATTCCCCCCCCCTTGACCCCAAAAGCCAAAAATGGAGCTATAGCTCAAGTGGTAGAGTGCTAGCCTTGAGACAAAAAGCTCGGGGACAGTGCCTAGGCCTGGAGTTCAAGCCTCATGACTGACAAAAAAAAAAGTATAGAGAAGATGCATACAGATTATGTGCGAATACTGGGCTACTAGGCATTGGGAACCCAAAGATTTTGGTACCCATGCTGGGGCCTGAAAACTATCCCACGTAGATACTGAGGAATTACTATACTGAGAAACTTTTCTACCATTACTGTAGCTTCAGAATCAGATTTCTTTCTCATTGTTTATAGGTTATCATGGGGATTCTCATACCCCCCACAATCTTGTTTTTGGAGTTCCGAACATACGATGATCTCTCATATCAAACATCCAAGGAAAACGAAGATGGCAAAGAAAAAGAAGAAGAGAATGTGGTTGGTGATTCTCTTGGTTCCAACTGTCCCATTGGCTCTTTTTTTTTTTCTCAACTGGTGTAATTTCCTTTACTGTAAATTTAGAGCCTTTGTCAATTGGGGGTACTTTGAGACTTGGGGGGGTACTTTGAAGGTACTTTCTGACTTGTTAAAGGTTCCCCTATCATATGCCTGCTGTGTTCTGATTTTCAGGATGCAAATGCAGATGCTGGTTCCAGAAAGGGGGATGAGGAGAATGAGCACAAAAAGCAGAAAAGCATTCCCATTGGAACAAAAATCTGTGAATTCTACAATGCTCCCATTGTCAAGTTCTGGTTTTACACAGTAAGGCCTCCTCCTTCAAATTTCCCATTAAGCCTGTTTTGAATTCTGAATTATGTTGGAATTTCTTAAATATTTTAAAAAGTATCTAAAATTCTTCAGTGCCCATGGCTCATTCCTGTCATCCTTAGCTACTCAGGAGGCTGAGATATGAGGATCATGGTTCAAAGCCAGTCCCTCAGGAAAGTCCATAAGACTCTTATCTCCAATTAACCTCCACAAAGCCAGAAGTAGAGCTGTGGTTCAAGTGGAAAAGTCCTAGCCTGGAGCAAAAGAAGCTCAGGGACTGAGCTTCAGGACTTGAGTTCAAGCCCCAGCCCCAGCACAAAAAAAAAAAAAAAAGAAGAAGAAGAAGAAGAAGGAAAGGAAAAGAAAAAAGGAAAAAAAAGTATCTAAAATTCACTGTGTTAAAATGAATTATGAAAACAAAATTGGAATTAATTGGATCCTAACTTAAATAAGATCTAATATCTTGTCATATATTTATAAGTATGTAAGAAAATGGCTAACTGAGCCCCAGATACACCATTTCAAAAGTTAAAATAATCACATTCTGTTGGCCTAAGAGGAACGAACTGTTTTTCTAAGGCCTTTAGTAATCTAAATGTAGGGAAAGAAAATTAGCTATTTTTTTTTTTTGGTGGAATTGGGGTTTGAAGTCTGAGCTTCCTGCTCACTCAGCTTGCTTGCTTAACTGGCACTTTCCCATTTAAGTCACACCCCCAGCCTAGCTTTTCTCTGGTCAATTTAGAGATAGAGTCTCACCGACTTTTCTGCCCAGGCTGGCTTCAAACCATAATCCTCCAGAACTCTGTCTCCTGAATAGCCAGAATGACAAGTATGAGACACTGAAACCTGACTGAAAGTATGATTTTAAGACAAATAAAATGAATTAACATACTCATAGATCTCATTTTTCATTAAACGGACAGGGGCATCAATCAGCATTCTGTCACTGTGTGAAATAACTGAGATGATCAATGTATAAAGAGAAAAGGTTTGCTTTGATTCACAGTTTGGGAGGTTCTAGTTCATGATCGAGTGACCTATTAGTTTTGGAGAAAACAGTTCCCCTTGTAGACAGGGACAAAAAGAGAGAGCTAGAGAAAGGGATGAGGGTTCTAATATCCTATCTCTACCAATGAGCTACTTTGCAGTAGACTCAATCTGTTAAAGGCCAGCCACCTCCCAATACAACCACAGTTCGGTACCATGCTTTTAACACCAAAGTATGGCTGAACCTAGCTCATACGCTCCTAGAATAGGAAAGTAAATCAACAGCTTTCTGCTCTAAAGTGCTTGCACATTTGACCCACTTAGCAGCACACCAACTTTCTGGCCTCCTGCGGAATCCAGGAATCATGAGGGTGGCCCCTTGGAAACAAGAGTTGAGAGAGGAAAAGTTCACAGGTTAAAGTACCTTTGGGGATAACCAGCCTGGCTACCGGCAGTTAGTTCTAGGAGGGGTGTCTGTGGCCACATTCTGACTTGGACAGTGAAGAATGGATAATAGATCTCTGGCAGTATTCTGCCATTGAGGAAGGCCCTGGTACTATGGTTCCATTGGTGGAGAGACATGGGGGCTGGGTCCAAGCTCACAGATGGAGCAAAGGATGAAGGTTAGACAGGGGCCCAGAGAGAGCTCTGAGGGGAAGAGGCGCCTCAGACGCCCAGCTTTTGGCAGCTACATGCCACCAAGCAGCTGCCACGGGTTTGTTTTCTGGAAATCTTGAAGAACAAGGAGGGGAGGTTCTCATGGCTTCATGGACAATCAGCCTTCCCACCACCCTTACCCCATTCCTCACCCCATCCCCTACCTCCAGTTCTTCCTCTTTCCTTGTCACAAAGGTTGAGCATCTCTTCTGGCTGCTGGATATCAAAGGCTTACTGGGAATCAAGGGGCTTGAAGTCAACTTTGTGGTCCTGAGCACTTGGTTCATCCACATGTTCCTCCCTTGGTAACTTCTCACAATCTTCTTCAGTAGGAGAGAGATTCGAGAGCAACACGTGGGAGGTGGGAAAGAGTTAGGAACTTTCTAGTCTCCCCCACCAGTAAATCATTGCAAGTGCCCCCTGAGCATCAACATTCTTTCCCCTTGTTCGTTTCCCCATGAGGAAACCACCACCAAGAAATACCTCTTCACACAGAAAACAAAATGGCAGAGCCCATGTCATGCTCAAGGGAGAAATGCCTCCAACCTGCCTCCAAGTTCTCTCTCCCAGCACTGGTGATGTGGAAGGAGCTGTCCTCTAAATAGGGGAAAGAAAAATCCATTGTAGAAGCCCAGAGGTAGTGGCTCCTACCTGTAATTCCAGCATGTTGGGAGATGGGATAAGAGGAATGTGAGTTCTAGGCAGGGCCCTGGGCAAATTTAGCAAGACTCCTTATCTCAAAACCAAAATGCAAGCGAATGTGCTGGTGGTGCTTGCCTGTAATCTTAGCTACTCCTAATTCTGAGAGCTGAGGATTATGGCTCAAAGCCAGTGTGGGCAGGAAAGTTCCTGAGACTCTTCTCTCCAAGTAACCACCAGAAAACTGTGGCTCAAAGTGATAGAGTGCTAGCCTTGAGCAATAAATCTCAGTGCTCAATCCCTGAGTTCAAGCCCCAGGGACCTACAAAAAAAAAAAGCATACAAAAAGGTTTAGAGGTGTGGCTCAAGTAATAAGGTCTAAAGTTCAATCCCTAGTACTAGAAAAGAGAAAGAGAGAAAGGATAGAGAGAGAGAGACAGAGAGAGAGACAGAGACAGACACAGAAACAGACACAGAGACAGAGCAAGACAGAGAGACACAGAGAGACAAAGAAGAGAGAAGGAATGAGGGAGGGAGGAAGGAAAAGACAGAAAAAGGAAGGGAAAATTCAATACAGAAGATGCATCGATCTGAAAATAAAGTTTCAAAATCGAATTCTAAGGTTTATTTCCCAAAAAACCAGCCAACAGCTTTTCTTTCCTTCAGATATCGTACCTGGCCTACCTACTGCTGTTTAACTATGTCATCCTGGTGCGCATGGACGGCTGGCCCTCCTTCCAGGAGTGGATCGTGATCTCCTACATCGTGAGCCTGGCACTAGAGAAAATACGTGAGGTGATTACAGCACAGGCTTGTCCCAGCCCTGCCCACCATCGACTTCGATTTCAGGCCTTCTGCAGATGATAGCTACCACTGACTTCATCTTGGAGCCTGCCACCATCCCAAATTTATTCCATGCACTTGTTTCCCACATCAGTGACTGAATTTGAACTTGCAAAAATCCAAACACAAAGCCAAAAACATGACTTGAATGACACAAACAGGTTTGTGTGGACTTAAAAGTTAACGCCAAGGCAGTGTAATAATGGCTCACACTTGTAATTCTAGCTACTCAGGAAGCTGAGATCTGAGGATTGTGGTTCAGATCCAGCCAGGGCAGAAAAGTCCCCGAGTTCTTATCTCCAATGAACTACCAGAAAGCCGGAAGTGACTCAGTGGCTCAAAGTGGTAGAGCACTAGCCTTGAGGAAAAGCAGCCTAGGGACAGTGCCCAGACCCTGAGTTCAAGCCTCAAAACCAACAACAGCAGCAACAAGTTAAAGCCAATGCCTTAATGCTCCTTGACAATGAATCAGCTGCTCAACTGGGTACAGACTTGTGTGTGGGGGTGTCATTTTTCTGGGACTTTAAATTAAAAATGGAAGGATGTGGGTAACTTTTCTTGTTGTGGTGGTGGTTGGAGCTTGAGACTTGGGTTCACCCTGTGCACTTGCCGGATTGCACCCTTGGACTTTAGTACAGGAGATTTTGGGAAGGAAATTGGTAAAAGGTTGTGGAAGTTTCTCAACTGACAATGAGCAAGGGAGGGAGGTCCCAGGGAAGAGAGGGAGCTGAGTGAGGTCTGGGATCAGCCAACTATTACAGGTAATCTCCCTGCATTGGCTCTGGATTCTGGAAAATCTATGCTATCTTGAGATAAGGGAGAGAAGTTTTCCACCTATGTCAGTCTTTTGGCAGCTACCAGGGAGGTGGCTCCAATTGCCGAAGGGCAAGCCTCCCAGAAAGGCGAAAGGTTTCTAGGACCACCAGCACTGGGCAGAGTGGGCATGCCCATCTGATAATTAAAAAAAAACATGCCAGAGAGGTGGGTGGGGCCCAGAGGATCTTCTGTAAGAGGAAAGAACAAGATTTTCAGCTAGGTGTTGAAAAAAGGGTAGACACTTTGACTCATACCTCAGGGCTCAAAGGGAGAGCCAAGAAGGCAATTTCTGCCAACAGAAGAGGGCCAGGAACTTTTCTCTCTCAGATCACCCACAGGTGATTTCACAACTCTATTCACTGGTCAAGGGAAAGTGTGTACACAAGCAAAAAATGACCCTGATACAGGACCCACTGGGTGCTGGTGCCTCACATCCGTAACCCTAGCTACTCAGGAGTCTGAGATCTGAGGATCGAGGATTGAAACCAGCCCAGACAAGACAGTCCATGAGACTCTTAACTTCAGATAACCACCACCAACAAAAAAGGTAGAAATGGAGATGTGGCTCGAAGGGTAGAGCACCAGCCTAGAGCAAAGTAAAAAAAAAAAAGAAAAAGCCAACAAAGAGCTTCAGGCCCTGAGTATAAGCCCTAGTACTAGTACGTGCGCGCGCGCACACACACACACACACACACACACACACACACACACACATACCGAAGTGTGTGCACACCCACGCAAGCATACAGCCCAATTTCCTAGCCTTTCTCCAGTGGATACAAAACTAATACTATTATTCTGCGGTTACTTTGATGCTTTTAATGAACTGGAAATTGGCTTGATAACCTCATCCAAGTAGAATGAAGTCTAATCAGAAACTAAGACTTTTGCAAGTCAGAACAGTACATCACATCATCTTCTAGGATCACTCTTGCATTCCTAGTGAGGCTCCATTCAAATTCTGAGATTGCTAAAACCAGAACTTTCCAAGGGTTCTCCCTCACATCTCTAGATCTATGTAGTCCTTATTAATTTTCCGATATCCACCAAGATGCTGGTCTTTACCTTAGGTGTCTGCCCTTCAATTACAGTAGAGGGAGAGAGAATACAGCTGTCAGCTAGTATACATGGCTTGTTACACTAGTACACAGCCAGGTGCTGGTAGCTCATGCCTGTAATCCTCACTACTCAGGAAGCTGAGATCTAAGGACCGCAGTTCAGAGCCAGTGTGGGCAAGAAAATCTGTGAAACTCTTCTCTCCAATTAACCACCAGAAAACCAGAAGTGGAGCTGTGGGCTCAAAATGGTAGAGAGCTAGCCTTGAGCAAAAAAGCTCACACACAGTACCCTGCCCCTGTGTTCAAGCCCCATGATCAACCAACCAAAAACTGAACTAAACTATACTAAAATAGTAAGCCCTTCCGTGTTGGCTTCTCCAATCCTGGGGTCCTGAAATCTACCCACAATTTCCAGAACTAAACGGGTACCACAGCCAATCATTCTATGCGGCTGTACATTTTCCATTTCTCCCTGTGAAAGTCACCGTTTAACCAGTGGTGAAAGGAAACTATCTGGGGCACATCTGGTTCAATGTTCCCATGAGTTTTCATGTCAAAGCTGCAAAGGAACTCTGGCAAAGCAACATTTCCTTGTCTCCGTCTATCATCCCCACCCAATTCATTCCTGCTATCTACATCTAGAATCTGACTTATATATAAGTTCTATGCAAGTCTAGAATTGGAAGCAACAAACATGTGTGTCCAGATAAAAAAAATCAAATAACAACTGCTTTTATTACAGCCAGAAGGAGACCATTTAGAAGGCATTTCCTGAGAGCTTATAAAACCCTGAATCTAAGAATGCAGAGGATCTCATGGAATTTCCCTTTTTAGATATCTCCCTCTGCCTGAGATTCGTGTTTACTCATCTCACTCTGGAAAGGGACCAGAAGCCCTGGAATGTTCCACCCGTCTTATCTTTCCAAGATGCTAAGGAAAGACAAGACTTCTAAGAAGGGCCTCTCTGTTGAATGTTCTCTTTGTTTGTTTTAGATCCTCATGTCAGAACCCGGCAAACTCAGTCAGAAAATCAAAGTATGGCTTCAGGAATACTGGAACATCACAGACCTTGTGGCCATTTCCATGTTCATGGTTGGAGCCATTCTTCGCCTACAGAACCAGCCATATATGGGCTATGGCCGGGTCATCTACTGTGTGGACATCATCCTTTGGTATATCCGCGTCTTGGACATTTTTGGTGTCAACAAGTATCTTGGCCCTTATGTGATGATGATTGGGAAGATGGTTAGTAATGGTTCCTATGAGTAACCAGAGCTATTTCAGTTGTGGTTAGGACAGTAGGATCAGGTCTCGGGTGTGGCTTCCTTTGGTTTCATTTGGTCCTTGTTTTGTAGTTAGTTTCTCACAGAAAATATTCTTTGCTTTGAGTTACACAGTTCACCTGTGTATCTTAAATAATCCTCAGTAGGAAAACAAGAATTGAAGGCCTATTGTCATCTGGTTTTCCCAGCTACCAATCATAAGAAACAAATAATATGTAATTATATTTATAATATATAACATATATAGAGTAGTATATGTACATACATGCACACACATATATGTATGTGTGTGTGTGTGTGTGTGTGTGTGTGTGTGTGTCCCAAGCTAGGGGCTAGTGGCTCATATTTGCAATCCTAGCAACTCAGGAAGCTAAGATCTGAGGATCACAGTTCAAAGCCAGACCAGACAGGAGAGTCTGTGAGACTCCGATCTCCAATTAACCAAACTATCACAATGAACAGAGAAGAGAAGCCAGCAAGAAAGACTAGGAGCAGATGAAGACAGCAATGTTCTAGAATAAGACATATACTTGCATGGAGGAGACAAAGTCTAGTGGCCCATGGATGGAAAGGAAAGAAGGGAAAGAGGTATTCTTCATCCTAAATATGCAATCATGGAACTTTTAGAGTCAGCCATATAATGAACCAGTGTGAACCTGGTTCAGCGATCAAGAATGTAAGAGACTTTACGGGGTTCTCTCCGCAGATGATTGACATGCTATACTTCGTGGTCATCATGCTGGTTGTGCTGATGAGTTTTGGTGTAGCCCGTCAGGCCATTTTGCACCCTGAGGAGAAGCCTTCTTGGAAACTGGCCCGCAACATCTTCTACATGCCTTACTGGATGATCTACGGCGAGGTGTTTGCAGACCAGATTGACCGTAAGACTAGAATTCATAGTAAGATTCTCTTCCCTGCTTCTAGGGCAGATGAATGAGATAACATGTATTCATATAGCAAGAACTTTTTTTTCACACTGCCATAAGCATTAAATAAGTACATATTATGAAGTATCGATTTTGTGACAAGGTTTATGTCTTGCTCTTTTTTCCTCTCTTGAACTCATTCATTAGAAGTCTGAAAGAGGCCAGGTGCCAGTGGCTCACACCTGTAATCCTAGCTACTCAGGAGGGTGATATCTGAGGATCTCAATTCAAAGCCAGCCCAAGCAGAAAAGTCCATAAGACTCTTAAAGACTTCAATGAACCACCCAAAAGCCAGAAGTAGAGCTGTGAGTCAAGTGGTAGACGGCCAGTCTTGAGTGAAAAAGCTAAGGGATAGCTTCCTGGCCCTGAGTTCAAGCCCCAGTAATGGCACACATGTACAAAAAGAGTCTGAAAGTCTCAGATCTCTTAAGCTGGACCTCTGGGACATCGTGTCAAATGGAGTGCCAATGCCAATATCTTAGTTTTCCTTCAACCCCAGGATCTTCATATCCAGGAGGAAAGCTAGTGGGGTGCAGCAGAGTAACTCATGACTCATGTAGCCCTCTTCAGGCCATCGAAGCCCACTTCCATAGAGCTGCCCTTTCCCTTTTCATGACTGTTATTTTCAAATATTTTTTATCTGGGCACTGGTGGCTCACGCCTGTCATCCTAGCTCCTCAGGAGGCTGAGATCTGAGGATCTCGGTTCAAGGCCAGCACAGGCAGGAAAAGCTGTGAAACTCCGATAAACTGCCAGAAAACCGGAAGTGGCCCTGTGGCTCAAGAGGTAGAGCACTAGCTTTGAGCTGAAGAGCTGAGGGACAGCGCCCAGGCCCAGAGTTCCAGCCCTATGACCGACAAAAAAATTTATTTATTTTAACTGCCATATAATTTTTCATGTTCCTGGGTTCCAATGTGATGACTTTTGTGTGTGTATATGCCAATACTGGGGGGCTTGAATCAAAGACCTCGCCCTCTTGCTTAGCTTTTTTACTCAAAGGCTGTTGTTCTACTACTTCAGCCACCCCTCCACTTCTGGCTTTTTGCTGGTTAGTTGAAGGTAATAGTCTAATGGTTTGTGTACCCTTGCTGGCTTTTATTCATGATCCTCAGATCTTAGTCTCCTGAGTAGCTGGGATTACAGGTGTGAGCTCCTGACACTCAGCTTCCAATGGGAAGATTTAATATATGCAGACAAGGTGTGCTCTTTTTTTTTTTAATTTGTGGACAATAATCTAGATGTGATCAGAGGAAATAAACCACAATCCTGAATGGATTTCTGGAAACAATAGGCCCCAGCTTGTTTGTAGGCTGAGCTGATAGATCTCAGTATCTCCTATGTTAAAGGGATGTGAATTTCAAATGCTCTTGCATCTACTTCACCAGGACATTTCAGGCTCCACCAGTGAAAGAGGCCATTCAGCCCTAATTTCATGTCAGTATCAACCTTCTCATTTACATGTTATGTGCTTTTATTCCCAACGGTCATGAGTTGATAGCAGGTCTGCTGCTTCTTTTTTTTTTTTTTTTTTGGTGGGTCGTGGGGCTTGAACTCTGGGCTTGGGCGCTGTCCCTGCGCTCTTCAGCTCAAGCTTGAGCCACAGCGCCACTTCCAGTTTTCTAGTGGTTTTTATTGGAGATAAGAGTCTCATGGACTTTCCTGCCTGGGCTGGCTTTGTACTGCAATCCTCAGATCTCAGCCTCCTGAGTAGCTAGGATTACAGGCATGAGCCACCAGCTCCCGGCAGGTCTGCCACTTGCTCTTTGTGAATAGAAAGCCTTGAACATCTTCCTTTCACACGAAACAGAGGTGTCTGTAGACACAGGATGTTCTATCTAGCTTTTATAACAACAATATCACAGCTGTGGTAAAGTCAACTATTGATTGTGTTTATGAACTAAAATATAAAGTCTAATTTGGATTCAAAAGCATATTAGAGCCAGGCACCAAGGGCTCATGCCTATAATCCTAGCTGTTCAGAAAAGTTTGAGACCTAGAGGATCTCTGCTCAAAGCCAACTTGGGAAGAAAAATCCATAAAACTCCATCTCCAATGAATTGGCAAAATGCTGGACTAGAGGCATGGTTCAAGTGGTAAGAGCATCTACTATGATCAAGATAGCTGAGTGAGAGTGGGGGGTTCTGACACAAAAAATATAAATGTAAAAGCATATTAGTCTCAGGGAAGGTGTGATGGTACACAACTGTAATCCCAGCTACACAAGAAGCAGAAGTAGAAGGATCAGGGTTTGAAGCCGGCCCTGGGTAAAAAGCACAAGGCCCTTTCAACAAAATAAAATGGGGCTGGGAACTTTACTAAGGACTGTCTAACAAGTATGAGTTCAAATCCCAGAACTACCAGTAGGAAAAAAGCATATTAGCATATTAGGTAAAACACGCATTGAAAAAATCCTGGACTCTAGCTATCAACTATAATATTTTTATTGCTGGTGGTTGATTTTTTTTTTTACTCATTCATTTCAGTAATTAGAGAAGATAAAGATGGATTCAAAAAGTTCTATTGCTTTCAATAACACCATTAAATGTAGGGTTTCAATTCTTGATCTAGCATGTAATAATTTTTGGATCTATTTGTGACGATTTGCTGTTTGTGTTAGAATATTTAAGATGCTTGGTTTGGTTAAACCCTAAGTTAAAAACAACCATCTGCCAGTTATGTGTCTTTTTCACAGTATTTTTAACATGAAAGCTTTTGCTGTTGCTTATGGACCTAAAAAATAATGAGATACATTTCAGGGACTTGAAAATGGATACAAATCTGAGCAAAGCTCTGTATCTAAGCATGAATCTCTAATCCCCAAGCTTCACATCTTTGTATTTTCTTCCAGGAAAGCAGTTTTTGTGCTAGTGCATGGTCTGACTTCCTTCTCAACTCTTCTGTTTTCTCTCTCCTTCCCTTCCATCACAACTGAAAAAACAAAATCTGCTGTGGAATCACCATGCAGTGTACGCCATGGAAATCAATCGTAAGTTCATGTGGCATTGAGAAATCAGTTTGTGAACACGTGTTTATTAAATAGTCTTTAACTTCACTAGTTACTGATAATCTTATACTATTTTCAAGTAGGTCTTCTGTCCTCTAGTGACAAAAGGTGTGTGTGTGTGTGTGTGTGTATGTGTGTGTGTGCACGCGTGTGTGCCAGACCTCAGGTTTAAACTCAGGACTTGAGCATTGTCCCTTAGCTTTATTTGCTTAAAGCTAGTACTATATGACTTGAGCCACATCTCTACTTTTGGCTTTTTGCTGGGTGATTGGTTATGGAACTCTTAGACTGCCCAGACTGGCTTCGAATCTCATTCCTCAGATCTCAGCCTCCTGAGTAGCTTGAATTACAGGCATGAGCCGCTGGTGCCTGGTTTGGTGAGTGCTTTTTAAAACTGTAAGTAAAATGTAAGCAGACAATATAAATTCAGTGTTGGTGCTATTCTATTTTTCTCCCTTTTGGGAAATAGGGCTCCTAGGATGGAAGTGGCATTTCAAATAAGCAGAGGAATGGATGTTTGAAGGTAGTGGGAACTGCTCACATCTCAACCCAATATAATTTTTAAACTGAATGCATATGTGTAATCAAGGAAATAATCAGTAGATAGCAGAAGCGAATGTTAAATAATCAGAACTTTATATGATAGATAACAATATGGAAAACTCTGAAAAAATAGATTTATCTGTTTAATCATTACGTGAAAAAGCATCAGGTAATGAAGAAATGTTTACTAATATAACAGGCCAAGAATGAATGTGCAGGAAAGTGTTTTCTTACCCTCTTCTTTATATGGATTAATTTTTTTTTTGCTGGGGAAATTAATGTTTATGAGACCAAAAAAAAATCACATCAAAATAGAAATAGGAGCCAGGCATCAGTGGTTTACACCTGTAACCCCAGCTACTCGGGAGGCTGAGATGTGGAGACTTTCCCTTTGAACTCAAGCTGGGCCCACAAATCGGAGACTCCTATCTCCAATGAACCAACAACAGAAAAACAGGCTGGAGGCGTGGCTCAAGTGGTAGAGCACTACCTATGGGCATGGAAGCCAAGCAAGCTCAAGGCTCTGAGTTTAAACCCTGCCTCTGTCCCACCAAAAAAGGGGAAAAAATAAGTTCTTTCATAAGACATTTAACAGATTATTTATAGTGATCGCATGTTGTTTTAAAAACAAGCACAGGCAGACAAGCTTTTCTTTCAGCTCCTTGCGGTGAAAACCTCTATGATGAAGAGGGCAAGCGGCTGCCTCCCTGCATCCCGGGTGCTTGGCTTACTCCGGTCCTCATGGCCTGCTACCTGCTAGTGGCAAACATCCTGCTTGTCAACCTGCTGATTGCTGTTTTCAAGTATGTGTCCTTTTTGTTAATTATGTGACAGATTTTTTTTTTCTGTTGAAATCTCAGCAAAATCTCACACGGTGTATGTTTGTAGAGAGCCTCACTAGCACTCTTATGGTATTTATCTATGTTTATGCCAGTACTGAGACTTCAGATTCACTCATCAAGAGATGGCCTAAACACCATCCCTTAGCTGGTACTATACTGCTCTAGCCACACTTCCGGGTTTTTGCTGGTTAATTGGAGATAGGAGTCTTAAGAACTTTGCTGCTGGGGATGGCTTTGAACCACAATCTTCAGATCTCAGCCTCCTAAGTAGCTAGGATAACAAGTGTGAGCCACTTGTGCCCAACCAAGCTTTTAAATGGATTGATTTTTTTACAGTCGTTTGGTTTTTTTTCTGACCAAATTTAATAGTGTTAATGTATTCGCAACTCATGAGTCAACACTTAAGTACATTTAAATTTAATCTTGGTTTGTATTTTAGTACTTAGTGTATCTTGTAATCTAATGAAAATATTTTATTAAGCCGAAGGCTCCCGGGATAAAGAAGTTTTGATCAAGTTGTGCGTTTATTTTTTCATTATCAGAGGCACAAAAGCAATGTTAATTTCATAAGCTGTTACAATTACTATAATACTATGGAAAATATCTTATCACTTTTGGAATCATAGCATAAGCAAAACAAATAGACTTAAATTAGAAAAACAGGCTTATTTCATAACTTATCCATTTGGCCTGATGCTTAATAAATGTTGAGAACGTTTTTTAGCTTCTGATATGAAAAATACAAGAGCAAGAATTCCCTTCGTAGAAATATGAAATTGGCCAGGCACCAGTGACTTGTGTTTGTAATCCTAGCTATGTGAGAGGCTGAGATCTGAGGATCATGGTTCAAGGCCATCCTGGGCAGCAAAGTCTGTGAGACTCTTATCTCCAATTAAGCACCAGAAAACTGGAAGTGGATCTGTGACTCAAAGTGGTAGAATGCTAGACTCCAGTAAAAGCAGCTCAGGGACACCCGCGGACTCTTATATATATCAAATAAATTCATACAAGCATATGAATTAGTAAAGGTCTCATTGGTGGTTGTTTTTTTTAAAACATCAGTGTCTATCAATTTAATATGCCTAATGTATATTTATATTAGTAAAATGCCCTTGAGCATAGATAATTCATATTGGAAAATTTTTAAAAATTAGGTAATCAAGGAATCAGTATTGAGTGACAATGTATTTTTATTTCAACCTGAGTAACTGATTGATCTGGCAAATTACAATATAAAGTAAAGTAAGCGGGCTGGGAAGGTGGCTCAGTGGTAGAGCGCTTGCCTAGCATGCATGAGGCTCTGGGTTTGATTCCTCAGCACCACATAAGCAGAAAAAAAAAAGCCAGAAGTGGAGCTGTGGCTCAAGTAGTAGAGTGCTAGCCCTGAGCTGAAGTGCTGAGGGACAGCGCCCAGGCCCAGAGTTCAGGCCCCACAATTGGACCAAAAAAAAAAAAAAAAGAAAGTAAAATAAGCAACTTAAAAAAAAAATTTCTTCTTTTTAAAGCAATACCTTCTTTGAAGTCAAGTCAATATCCAATCAGGTGTGGAAGTTCCAACGATATCAGCTGATCATGACATTTCACGACAGGCCTGTCCTACCCCCACCGATGATCATTCTGAGCCACATCTACATCATCATTATGCGTCTCAGCGGCCGCTGCAGGAAGAAAAGAGAAGGCGACCAGGAGGAACGGGATCGTGGATTGAGTATGTGTCCAACTCTTCATAGACCTGTGTGAAAGTCACACTCCCTTCCAACTGCTGTGCTTCTTCACAGTGCTTCTTGTTTTCTGTAGATTTTATTCTAGTTTTGTTCATTTATTTGGCACTATTGCTGAAAGCCACCTGCTGGAGATGAGAAATCATCTCTTCTAGCCAAGCACTCGTGGCTCATGCCTGTAATCCTAACTACTCAGGAGATTGAGATCTAAGGACTATAGTTTAAAGCCATTCCAGGAAGGAAAAGTCTATGAGACTCTTTTTTTTTCCAATGAAGCACCAAAAAGCTGGAAGTAAAGTGTGGCTCAAGTGGTAGAGTGTCAACCTTGAGTGCATATTCAGGCCCTGAGTTCAAGCCCCAGGACCAGTAGAAAAAAAAAGGAACGAAGGAAGGAATGAAGGAATTTCTTCTATATACATCTCTATGCATATCTACTGTTCCTTTGAAAATGTTTTATTGCATCTCAAGATGAGAGACTATTCTAGGGTTGACTTCATTCATAAAATACATGGGAAAGATTTTCCAGAAAATACTACTTTCCCAATAGATTTTTTTTTATTAGAAGGTGAGCCATGTTGCTCCATTATAGAGATGGTTGCTACAGATAGCAGTCTTTCTTGGAGGGCGTGAGAGATGATTACTAATTGGAGGTCAGGGAACTGCCTGCCTCCCCTCGTTCTCCCCCCCACCCCAATACAGTATGGAGCTGGGTTACAGTAAGGCTGAGAAATTCCCAAGGATTCTTCCCTCAGCTGCCTGTCTCATCACGTGACCCACATCTCTTCCTTTACCCAGAGCTGTTCCTCAGTGATGAGGAGCTGAAGAGACTGCATGAGTTCGAGGAGCAATGCGTGCAGGAGCACTTCCGGGAGAAGGAGGATGAGCAGCAGTCATCCAGCGATGAGCGCATCCGGGTCACCAGTGAGAGGTGGGTTTTATCCAGCCTGTTAGACCCAAGGATTTGCAGTCTCCTGGATCCCAAGTCTAATGGGGGAGGCCACAGTTCTTCTCAACATCCACTCTGTGCTCTTCAGTCCTATTCACCCTTTGTGTGTTAGTGAGTTTTCCCCCCAATACAACAGAAAAGTTTGTAGGCCAGGATTGTATTTGGCATCTAGAAGTGATGGACAGCATTTACTGAAAATATTAGGGCAAAACAAACAAAACACAAAACCCTAGACAGTTCTTGGCCACCTTCAGCTTCTCCTCAAGTAGAGGCACACAGTACCGTGTTTACTGGAAAGTTCTGTATTCATGGAGAGAACAATGAGCTAGAGGAAGCCATCTTTTCTCCCTGCTCTGGAACATGCTGTGCCTTTGCCAAGCACGGTGTTCCCTGGACTGACCCCTCATCCTGCTTAGCTGCTTAACAACTCCTCAGAAATACCCTTCCCAGGGGCTGGGAAGGTGGCTCAGTGGTAGAGCACTTGCCTTGAATACCTGAGGCCCTGGGTTCAATTCCTCAGCACCACATAAGCAAAAAGAAAAAAGCCGGAAGTGGTGCTGTGGCTCAAGTGGTAGAGCGCTAGCCTTGAGCTGAAGAGCTGAGGGACAGAGCCCAGGCCCAGGGTTCAGGCCCCACAACTGGACCCCCCCCAAAAAAAGAAATACCCTTCCCAGCCTCACAGGGCAGAGGTAAAGGCTCCAGTTTCTGTGCCCCCATGGCAGGGGTATGGTTAGAGAGGAAGTGGGAGGTGGGATCTGATTTCCTCATTGAGGACAGGATCTGCATTTCAGAGACCTTCATATCTTCAGTTTCCAGCAAAATCAGCACAAGCCACATGATGAAGCTTAATAATGACTGAGTGCCAGTGGCTCACACCTGTAATCCTAGTTACTCAGGAGGATGAGATACGAGGAGCAAGGTTCCCAGCCAACCCGGAGAAGGAAGGTCTGTGAGACTCTTATCTCCAATGAGCCACCAACAAGCCAGGAGCAGAGCTATGGCTCAAGTTGGTTGAGTGCTAGCCTTGAGCAAAATAGCTCAGGGACAGTGCCTAGGCCCTGAGTTCAAGCCCAGGATCAACATACACACACACACACACACACACACACACACACACACACACGAGATTAATTATGTCCAGTGAAATGAATGCATGAGGGCAGTAATCAATGGATGGGTGAATGAAGGTAGACCAGGGGGGAACGTAATGACAGCTTTAGAGCTTGATACTACTTCCCTACACTAAGCAAGGAACGAGTAACTTAGCAAAGCATAGGACAGTAAACCCTCACTACTTAACATTTTAAAAATTCAGAGTGTGTGTGTGTGTGTGTGTGTGTGTGTGTGTGTTTGTGTGTGTGTGTTGTTCATGCATGCATGCCAGTACTGGGCTTGAACTCAAGGTCTAGACTCTGTCCCTTAACTTTTTCACTCAAGGCTGACCTACTATTTCAGCCACACCTCTACTTTCAGCTGTTAGCTGGTTAGGTTTTTCTACCGGGGCTGGCTTCAAAGCCCAATCTTCAGATTTCAGCCTTCTGAGTACCTAGCATTACAGATGTTTTAGAACACTTTCCACTTAGTTAAAGCAATTTAAGCTTGTTTAAAGATCTCAATCCTTGATTTTTAACAACATGGGGAGAAAGATGAGCAGAAGGAGGCATGTCTGAAGCAGATTCTGGTACTTAGAGTAAGTTTCCTGATAGACCTGTGTGTGTGTGTGTGTGTGTTAGTATTTTGGCAAATATAAACACAGTAGAGCTTCAAAAAGAAACCTCCAAACAAGAGCCTAATAGGATTTACTTGAAGTCCCTATCCCACATCCAGACTATTGTCTCCATGCTACTTGTCCCAGACATCATCCAACCAAACAAACTCAACCAGCCAAACTCATGGTTTACCTGCCCCCATTTGGGCCCTTAATAAAGTACATTTTATTTATTTATTTATTATTTTTTGTCAGTTGTGGGCTTGAACTCTGGGGTTGGGCACTGAACCTCAGCTCTTCAGCTCAAGGCTAGTGCTCTACCAGATGGGCCACAGGGCTACTTCTGGTTTTCTGGTGGTTTATTGGAGATAAGAATCTTATGGAGGGGCTGGGAAGGTGGCTCAGTGGTAGAGCACTTGCCTTGCATGCATAAGGCCCTGGGTTCGATTCCTCAGCACCACATAAGCAAAAAGAAAAAAGTTGGAAATGGCGCTGTGGCTCAAGTGGTAGAGTGCTAGCCTTGAGCTGAAGAGCTGAGGGACAGCGCCCAGGCCCAGAGTTCAGGCCCCACGACCGGACCCCCCCCAAAAAAAAAGAATCTCATGGAGCCGGGCACCGGTGGCTCACACTTGTAATCCTAGCTACTGAGGAGGCTGAGATCTGAGGATCACAGTTCAAAGCCAGCTAGGCAGAAAAGTCCATGAGACTCTTATCTCCAATTAACCACTTGAAAACCGGAAGTGGTGCTGTGGCTTAAGCTGTAGAGTGCTAGCCTTGAGCTGAAGAGCACAGGGATAGCGCCCAAGCCCAGAGTTCAAGCCCCACGACCAACAACAAGAACAAAAAAGAATGTCATGGAATTTTCTGCCTGGGCTGGCTGTGATCCTCAGATCTCAGTCTCCTGAGTAGCTAGGATTATGGGCATGAGCCACCAGCACCCGGGTTAATAAAGTACATTTAAAAAATTATCTTGAAGTAGTTGTACACAGTGGTTTCAATCCCACCAATCAATTTATGAGTACAATGGATCTTGATCAATGTCATTGCTTCCATAATTCTCCCCCATCTTTTCCCACCCATAAAGTACATTTTCAATGAAACTTTGAGACACTTAATTGACTAACAGTAATTGCTAAGCTTTTAAAACATTTTTTTTAAAAAGTATTACTGTATAAGATACTCCATGTAGATAATCTAAAATTTCCACTTTTTAGTTAGTTAACTTGAATTTAATCATAGCTACTTATTACAATGGACATTGGACTTTGTTTTGTTCTGGCACTGCCTCTCCCCCCTCCTCTCCTTTCCTCTAGCATTGTTTGGATTTTTACCATTCTTGGACCAAAGCTCCAAGAATGTGGTTATCAGGTCACTACCAAATAGCATTTTTCTCTTGGGGCTTAGTGCATGCGTAATAGCAATGAAAGGGTACTGGGTAATAAAACATGCTACTTCCTGTTTCCCTTGGCTACCATGTCTAAGATGGATGGGAGCACATTCCTGCCACTCTGTTTCCTTTTATTGACCTCGTGTGGGGCTGACTCACAGGTGAATGCCAGAGAAAAGGTTATCCCAGCCAGCTGAGGAGCAAGGCCGGAGCCGGGAAAGAGGGAAGAAGATTTCCTTGTTTGTTCCTAACTTTAGGCATTTGTATTACCACTCTCTCTCTTTCTCTCTCTCTCTCTCTCTCATCTATCTCTCATTTATTTAGTCAGTTAATGCTAGTTAGAGGGTTGGAACTCAAGCCTGGGTTTTTTCTATTCAATAATGGAGCAAAATGGCTCACTTCTAACAGAAAAAAAAATTACATCTATTGGGAAAGTAGTGTTTTCTGGAAAATCCTTCCCATGCATTTTTTGAATAAAATCAACCCTATAACACTCTCTCATCTTAAGAATGCATCAAAAAGATGCAGTTGTATAGTAAATATAGTACATTGTAGATAATACATATTATATATACACAATATATGAATATATTATATTTGTATATATAATTATATATAACATATGCCATATAAACCTATGCATATATCTACATATATATACATATATATACATAAACAACTCTTCATGTCAGTACAAGGTTTGATCCCTGGGTATCTTCCCTATAATTACGACATTTAAAAGACAGCCCAATATAAGGAAATATGTGGACATTTAAATAGCTAGATGTAAATTTTAGAGTGTATTAGACAACTTTATTATCCATGGATCTGGAATAAAATTAGAGGGTAGGAATAGGCTTAGAACTCAAGTATAGAATACTAGCAGATCTTGAAACATGGGTTTCTTCAAACATCAGGCTTTTTTTTTTAATGTGAGCACTTAGCTCTATTATTAAAGAAATGTTCCCATGTAATTTATGAGATGCCTTGCAGGTTCAGGGTGATTATTTCTCATAAAAAGATGAATGCACATAAAGTAAATTTTAATAACTGGTTTAGTATAGAACCCCAAGTGTTTAAGTCTTAGCCTTAGGAAAGATACCTAAGGAGTTTTACCATGAAAACAAGAATTTGGAGTTTACATTTAATAATGATGATAACAATCCATAAATGTTATGCCATGTGCAGGTGATCTCTTAGAAGTTATTACTACAAGAGTTCTACATATTGTACATAAGTTCCATAGTGTATCTATTATTATTTAAATGAAATGGAAAAGATTGTTTTTGAGTCCATTAATAAAGAATGAGCATTTGTTAAACGTTAAGATTTATGGGTACCACTTAAAAATCAAATACCCTTAATAATAGATATGCCAAGACATAGAGAAGATTTGTGGTGATAGCTTATTTCACACAGATGGCAGATGACATGTGTATAACATTTATCACTTCTGGAGTACTTTTGTGTATATAATTTCAAATAAGTCTTACAATCCTGTCATACTATACCCATGACCATTTTTGGTTTTATAAAGGATTAAAAGGATTAACGGTGATAGATATATAACAAATAGAAGCTGCAGGAACAATTTTATCCTCAATGCAAACATAGGCACATCTCAAAGGAAACCACCAAGTTGGCAACATATTATAAGAATCAGCCTTGTTTGATATTTTTTCCCCTCAAGATCAAAACAAAAGAAATAAAAGCATTTCAGAATATATAATATCAGTAGGTAAATTTGGTACCATTATTGTGCTGAGTTTTTTTGTTCAAGGTTGGTGCTCTAAAACTTGAGCCACTTCCGGTTTTTTACTGGTTAATTGGAAATAAGAGTCTCATGGATTTTCCTGCATGGGCTGGCTTTGAACATCAATACTTAGATCTTAGCCCCTGAGTAGCTGGGATTATAGGCATGAATCTTCAGTGTCCAACTTGCACTTTTTTTAATTAAAAAAATAAGTGTACACATATTCATTCATACACATACACACACCAGGTTTTAAAACAGTCGGAAACCCTTTTAACAAAGAGCCCAACAGACACTTTATATTAAGCTCTAAAAAGGAGAAAAATCTGAAGGGAATGGGGAACACTGCAATGATTAATCATGCATGAATGAACTAATTAAAAAATTAATTCTGAGCTCTTTAGTGGCTTCAGTAGGAATACACTTGAAGCAGTTAAAAGACGTGGCATATGATGTGATAAATCAAGTGGTGTTTAAGATTCTATTCACAAACCAAGAGAATGGTTCATGTGGGCCCAGTTTGTAATTTTGTTAGTTTATATAGTCCTCTTTCCTTCCTTCCTTCCTTCCTTCCTTCCTTCCTTCCTTTCTTTCTTTTCTTTCTTTCTTTTCTTTCTTTGTCATGGGGCTTAAACTTGGGCCTGAGTGCTGTCACTCAGCTCTTCAGCTCAAGGCTAGCGCTCTACCACTTGAACCACAGCACTACTTCCAGCTTTTTCTGTTTATGTGGTACTGAAGAATGGAACCCAGGGCCTTATGCATTCAAGGCAAGCACTCTACCACTGAGCAACCTTCCCAGCCCTATAGAGTCCTTTAGTATCAAAGAATGGAGAAGGAATGGTTCTGCATCCTACTGATTGATAATGGCCTTCTCTTTTCTTTTTTTTTTTGGTCCGGTCATGGGGCCTGAACTCTGGGCCTGGGCGCTGTCCCTCAGCTCTTCAGCTCAAGGCTAGCACTCTACCACTTGAGCCACAGCAGCACTTCTGGCTTTTTTCTTTTTGCTTATGTGGTGCTGAGGAATCGAACCCAGGGCCTCAGGCATGCAAGGCAAGCGCTCTACCACTGAGCCACCTTCCCAGCCCAGGCCTTCTCTTTTCAAAAGTATTATTCAGCAAAAGTCTTGTTGCTATGAATTAAAGACCAATTTAATGTATGTAATCAAAACCTACTACAAAAATAATGATTTGTGTTCATACAAAACCTATGTATAGACACCAGTGGCTCACACCTGTTATCCTAGCTACTCAGGAGGCTGAGATCTGACGATTATGGTTTGAAGCCAGGCCAGATAGGAAAGTCCATGAGGCTCTTATCTCCAATTAACCACCAAAAAGCTGAAAATGGAATGTAACCCAAGTGTTAGCATGCTAGCCTTGAGTAAAAATAGCTCAGGGATAGTGCCCAGGGTCTAAGACTGGCACCAAAAAATAAAAAGAGAGAGAGAGAGAAAAATGATGTAGAAAGTTCAGGGCAGCTCTTTTTGTTCTTCTCCCCAAGTGGAAACAACTGAAATGTCCATCAATAGGCATGGTGTACCCAGGTTCAAAACACGTCTTTAAGAGGAAGTCAATTTTATTTACTTATTTATTATTTATTGTGCTGGGGCTTTACTTCAGGGCTTTTTAAAATGTCTAAGAAGCCAGGGATGCTATGATTAATGAGGTAATATAGGGTGGAAAATGGTTGAGAATTTAAAAAGACTTTTGATGAAAGATGTTTATTTTACCAGCTTATTTATGTCCCCAAAATTTACAAAGCTGTATTATCTCTCATTTGTTAAAGGATCTCAGATTTAACTGTTAGAAAGGCCATGTGGTTTTAATACAAAAGGAATCACAAGGTTAATAGATTTGAAGGGATTAAGAAGCCATTTGATTTAATTCAGAACAGCCAGTCTCCCTCAGAGGCAATCAGAAGTTCACATTGAAAAGTTTTTCTATGATGTTGAATGGCAACTCCTTTGTACAGCCACTTAAAGATAATGAAAAAAAAATGTTTTCTTTCAAATTTCAATGGGCAATAGTGTTTCATGCCTGTAATCCTAGCTACTCAGGAGGCTGAGATCTGAGGATGATGGTTGGAAGTCAGCCCAGGCAGGAAAGTCCATAAGACTCTTATCTCTAATTAACCATCAAAAAGCCAGACGTGATGCTGTGGCTCAAATGGTAGCAAGCTAGGTTTGAGCACAAAAGCTCAGAGATAGTGCCCAGGACCAGAATTCAAGCCCCAGGACCAGCACAAAGATAACAAGTAAAATGGAATGTCTTCTATGAGTCCCTGAGAGGAGAGAAAATCTACAGAACCTATAGGGAAAAAAAGTATCTTAAAAAAAGTAAAGCCAAGCTGGGCGCTGGTAGCTCATGCCTGTAATCCCAGCTACACAGGAGGCTGAGATCTGAGGATTGCAGTTCAAAGCCAGCCCAATAAACCACCAGAAAACCGGAAGTGGCACTGCAGCTCAAGTGGTAGAGCACTCGCCTTGAGCTGAAGAGCTGGGGGACAGAGCTCAGGCCCAGAGTGACAGCCCCATGACCAACAAAACAGAAAACAAAAAACAACAATAAAAAAAGTAAAGCCAAGAGTTCGTATCCATGTCGAGTTTTGGTCCTCCCTCATGGCAAACTTCTAGGAAACCAGGCCCTTCCTGTTCTGATGATGTGGTTTCCTTAGAGGCACATAAATAGTTCTCCCCCGCCCCACACCCACCCCAAGAAAAGTGTTAAGAATAGAAACTGGGACCCTGTATTGCATCACAGTGCAGCTGTCGGTGTGGGCACTAACTAAAGCAACTCTGGGACACTGTAGGACCAGTTTTCTGGAGAAGAGACAGGGAGTATACAGAGCACAGGAGATGGAGTTGGACACTGAGCAGACAGTGTGGTGCAAAAAGAGTGGTGGGGCCCTGCCAAATGTGAAGGCAGAGTCTCCTATATGGGCAAGAGGAAAGCAGCAAGGCAAATGAGGAGTTGATAAGGGTATGGAGAGAAGACTGCAAAGACCTAGTGAAGGATTGTGACGCAAGTCAAAGGACTTCAGAGACTATGTCTTTAAGAAAGGTGGGAGAAAAAAAAAACAAAAGCATAAGGCATCCGATGTTTATCTTTATACAGGAAGAAACCTTCCAGGACAGACTCCTACACTGCCCAACTAGGAGCCATGATTCCCACACCCATCCTGAGACAAATTCAACTGGTGTGTGTGTGTGTGTGTGTACACGTGCGCACTCGCATACTGGGGCCACTTGAGTGCACCTCTACTTCTAGATTTTTGGTGGTTAATTGGAGATAAGAGTTTCCCAGACTCTTCTGCTCTAGCTGGCTTTGAAGCTCTATCCTCATATCTCAGCCTCCTGATTGGCCAGGCATACAAAAGCATGAGCTACCAGCACCCAGCTTCCACTGCAACTTTTAGAAGGCAATCTGAAATCCTTAGCATACATCACTGACTCTTACTTAAAAGAGTTAAATTTCATGAACTTGTTGACAGAATTCATCCTGGTACATACTAAAGTAAAAAGCAATGTCTGATCCAGTGGATTGCAGTCCAGGCAACCTTAGAGTTTCGTAAGTTGCCTGCCTGATTATCTGGTGCCTTAAAAAATTATCTACCGTGGGGCTGGGAAGGTGGCTCAGTGGTAGAGCGCTTGCCTTGCATGCTCAAGACCCTGGGTTCGATTCCTCAGCACCACATAAGCAAACAGAAAAAAGCCAGAAGTGGCGCTGTGGCTCAAGTGGTAGAGCGCTAGCCTTGAGCTGAAGAGCTGAGGGACAGCGCCCAGGCCCAGAGTTCAGGCCCCACCACCGGACCCAAAAAAAAAAATTATCTACCACTAGACATTTATAATTTACCAAGTTCTTCATCTTTGCTAACAATTTTCATAATTGCATATAAAGAACAATTTAATGGTTTTGGTGTTCTGCAGGAAATTAAATGACTTGTGAAGGCTCTTAGCAAAATGACTAGTGTATATATATATATACATACACATATGTATATATGTATGAGATATGTATATATGCACATATATATAGTGTTATTTCTTGATACTCTTCGTGTCATTTCAGTAGTTATATTAAGAGATACACAGAATCCACCTAGGCACTGGTGTCTCACACCTATAAATCCTAGCTACTCAGGAGACTGAGATCCACGGGTTGCAGTTCAAAGCCAGCCTGGTCAGGAAAATCCATGAGACTCTTATCTCCAATAAATTACCAAAAAAGACAAAAGTGGAACTGTTGTTTAAGTGGTAGAGAGCTATTACTGAGCTTAGGGACAATGCCCAGTCCCTGAGTTCAAGCCCCAGGACTCACAGAGGGGGGGGGAGGGCAGGAGGGAGGGAAGGAAAGAGAGAGAGGAGGTGATAAACACCTACAAAAACAGGCCCAACAAATTCCAAAATTCTCAAAATCCTGAGAGATTATACCATTATCTTTTCATTTTTAATATTCAGTTCACGAAATCTATGCCTCTCCCTTATTCTTTTTAATTCATTAGAGTTGAAAATATGTCAATGAGATTGGAAGAAATCAATGAAAGAGAAAATTTTATGAAAACGACCCTACAGACTGTCGACCTTCGACTTTCTCAACTTGAAGAACTCTCCAGCAGGATGGTGAATGCTCTGGAAAATCTTGCGGGCATTGACAGGTCTGATCTGATCCAGTCAAGGTCCCGAGCTTCCTCCGAATGTGAGGCCACTTACCTTCTCCGCCAAAGTAGCATCAATAGCTCCGATGGCTACAGCCTATACCGCTACCATTTCAATGGGGAAGAACTGCTGTTTGAAGACACCTCTGTCTCCGTGCCTCCAGGAACAGGCCTCCGGAAGAAAACTTGTTCCTTCCGGGTGAAGGAGGACAAGGACCCTAAAGTCCATCTAGCTCCAGAAAGGCAGACTAGCCTGCACTTTGCATCAGGCCCCAGTCCCCCAGCAACCCCAGTTCACAGTCAACGTAAAGTAGATGGCACCACAGTCACTTCAGAGCCCAAATTAGGACCAGACATCGGCATTTCAACCCTAGATGATGAAGGGCAGGCCGACGCTAAAGTAGAGGAAATGATGTCCTCTGGTTTAAATGCAACAGATGTGATGTCTGGACAGAAATCAGATTTTCCGAATACTCAGCTCACAGTGGAAACGACCAAGATAGAAGGCACTATTTCCTATCCATCGGAAGAAAGCAAAATCGCACGCTATTACCCAGATGACACACTCAACGCTTACAAAACAATGAAATCCAGAAGCTTTGTGTATTCCGAGGGAAGAAGACTGGTTGGTGGGTTTCACAACTGGGGTGCTGAGTACAGTTCAATCATGGATCAAGCCTGTCCCTCGTCCGTCCAGCAATGGACAACAGAATGGAAATATGAAGTTCAGAAGATCACACGTTCCCGTAGCACCGATATCCCTTGTAGGGTGTCTGAGGCTGCAGTTCAAGCTGAGCAAAGAGAGCAATCCACAGACACGGAAGATGACAATTGCTTTTCTCAAAGAGTCCCTCAGATCTCTCCGGTAGCCCTCCCTGCTACAGACAGAACTGGAAAGGAGAACTTACTGTCCGTGAAGCCACCACAAACTTTGGGATTCCCATCGCCAAGGTCAAGAAGTTTCCATGGCCATCCCAGGGCTGTCAAGTGCATTCAGGGGAAACTAGATAGATCTGGACATGCCAGCAGTGTGAGTAACTTAGTAGTTGTGTCTTCAGTTACCATGGAAGAAAGAAACATAAAGCAGGAGAAAACTTCCACTGAAACTGACTGCTAAGTTTGTATTCTGATAGGAAGGAAGGAAGGAAGGAAGGAAGGAAGGAAGGAAGGAAGGAAGGAAGGAAGGAAGGAAGGAAGGAAGGAAGGAAGGAAGATCGGAAGGTCACAAATGGGTGCCATTGTGGCGACCTAAACGTGATCAATTTCTAGAAATGCTTTAATTAAAAGACATTGGAGCTGTGTGCTGGTGGTTCATGCCTATAATTCTACTAGGATACTGAAATCTGAGGATCACAGATCAAAGCTAGCCTGGAAAGCCTCTGAGACTCATATCTCCAATTAAGCACCAGAAAACTGGAAGTCAAGCTGTGGCTCCATTTCTGATCACTACTCATTACTAATACCACCACCATCACCAACTCCTGATATTACCCCCTGCTCAAATCCCAGTGGTTCTGGGTATGAGCACTAGCCTTGAACAAAAGAGCTCAGGGACAGTGTCCTAGCCCTGAGTTAAAGCCCAGGACAAAAAAAAACAAAAAGACATTTGAAACTTGGACTTGAATTTTAATGCATTACACTTAAAGTAATATGTTGTTAGTATACATTAATAAACCAAATTATTTTTAATCTTTCTTTCTTTCCTTTCTTTTATGCCAGTACTGGGACTTGAAGTCAGGGCCTATAATTCCCTTGGCTTTTTCACTTGGTGCTGGTACTCTCTCACTTGGGCTACTGTTCTACTTCGACTTTGTGGTTAATTGTAAACAAGAGTCTCAAGGACTATTCTGCTTAGACTGGCAATCCTCAGATCTCAGCCTTCTGAGTAGCTAGGGTTATAGGTGTGAGCCACCAGTGTCAGCTTTCTGAGTTGGTCTTAGTTGGAGCAGGAATGAAAGTGAAAATATGCCAAAGGAGGTAAATTGGTTAATTACTATACAGCCTCCGAGTTCCTAATTCATGAGGGCCACCAAATAGCCTACAAAACATTTTTAGCTCATCATCAAGTGGCTTAAGGATTAAAAGTAACCATGTACGAAAGAGAATTTAAAGACAAAGTAAACATGAAAGAAAAAGAAAAGGGAAGATGAAGATAAAATTAGAAGGGGCACAAAGTAAGAAATGGAAAGGAGCCATCCATGTAGGTTCTCACGTGGATTTTCTGTTTCTATTTTAAAATTTCACAATGGAGGAAAAGTATGCAATGAAAGCCAAATTACTTTAATAATATAGGTGATAAAGATTTTTCGTTAGATGTAAAAACAAAGTACCAATATGCATTTTCTTTTTGTCCTCTGGCAAATGCACACTGTATCTCTGTCTAGGTGATTGTACAAAATTATAGCTAAAAACAGAGACTGCCCAAGGATAGGGATATAAGCTGTGAGGATTCAACTTGAAGTCAAAGCCAAGATCTCCAATATAGAAAGTTTTATTGGGGAATAAAGATTGTAATCTGGAACACACAGGCTAGTGTGGCCTCTGTGAACAAAGAAATGAGTCTTATTTGGATAGAGAAGTCTATGTAAGATACTATAAAACACAGTTCCTTGGACACTTGTCGGATTTGCAGGAGCTGGACAGCAAAGATGGCCGAATATAGTCTTTTTTTTTTTTTTTTGGGTCCAGTCGTGGGGCCTGAACTCTGGGCCTGGGCGCTGTCCCTCAGCTCTTCAACTCAAGGCTAGCGCTCTACCACTTGAGCCACAGCGCCACTTCCAGCTTTTTTCTCTTTGCTTATGTGGTGCTGAGGAATCGAACCCAGGGCCTCATGCTTGCAAGTCAAGCGCTCTACCACTGAGCCACCTTCCCAGCCCCCGAATATAGTCTTAAGCTCAGAACTGGTAGTTTTATCAGTTGTGGAGTAAAATTATTCTTAAAATTTTTTTTTGTCAGTCGTGGGGCTTGAACAGGGCCTGGGTGCCATTCTTGAGCCTCTTTGTGCTCAAGGTTAGTGCTCTACCTATCACTTGAACCACAGTTCTACCTCTTGGTTTTGAGTAGTTCATTGGAGATAACAGTCTCATGGGGACTTTTCTGCCTGGGCTGGCTTTGAACCTCAGTCCTCAGATCTTAGCCTTCTGAGTAGCTAGGATTTCAGGTGTGAGCCACTGATGCCCAGCTTAAAATTATTCTTAAAACTAGGAGAGCTGATTCTTGGTTTGGTTCTATATGTCAGCTCTGGGAACCAAGAACTGAGAATCTCAATTGTTTTCTCATGGACAGTTGGTTCATTTTAGTGCTGTTGACTCCTATTTTTTTTTTTTAAGCTGGATGCTGGTAGCTCACACCTATAATTCTACTTGGGAGACTGAGATCTGAGGATTGAGGTCTGAAGCCAACTCAGGCAGAAAAATCTGTGAGACTCTCATCTCTAATTAGCCAGCAAAGAGCAGAGGCTGTCACTCAAGTGGCAGAGCACCAGCCTTGAGTTAAAAAAAAAGGCAAGCAAGAGAACAAGGCCCTGAATTCAAGTCCTACTGATACCCACAAAAAGTGACTCCATTTTATCTAACAAACATTCACAACACAAGCTCCTGTCCTATCACTAGGTCTCCTACAGGAATTTGGGCTGGGGTCACTGTCTAGGAAGCCTTGTGGACACCCTACCAACTTTACACCATTGACTATATAATTAGGAGTGGAAAGGAGACTTCTCTGGCTAGAATGGAGGTTAGAGTTAGACCCCGAGCTGGAATATCACTCAAGAGTTGGTTTTTTTTGGGGAGGGGGTGGCCATGGGGCTTGAACTCAGGGCCCGGTGCTGTCCCTAAGCTCTTTTGCTCAAGACCAGTCTTTTACCACTTTGAACCACAGCACCACTTCCAGTTTTCTGGTGGTTCATTGAAGAGTCTCACGGACTTTCCTGCCTGGGCTGGCCTTGAACCATGATCCTCAGATCTTAGCCTCCTGAGTAGCTAGGATGACAAATGTAAGCCACTGACTGAGTGGTGATCACAAATGGAAAATGTTCAGAAAGATGACCAATGCTCCTCATCTGAGGCACAGGAGCTTACACCACCACTAGACTGGCAAGGGAGGAAATAGAGAGAGGGAGACTGGATGGTCCACTAATGCAGGTAGAGATGAGACACGGTAATCCATAAATGTGATTGACTCTCACATCCTAAAATAAGACAGCCTTTGATGGTCAGATTGGAATCCCTGAACTTGGCTGAATTTATTTGTTTTTAAAAGGTTGCTCTATCATTGCTTGGGGGGGGGTCGTCTTTGAAATTAAATAAATTCTAACACTCATTTAGAGGGGAAAGAAAGGCGTTACCACTTTTTGTGTCTTGCTTCTTTGAAACGAATCCATCCTGCTTCCTATCTGATCCAGTATTTGGATCTCATTCCTAAAACCTTCCTTTTGGTAATAAAACAACAACAACCAAACCCTTCCAGCCTCGTGCGGATTTCTCGGGACAGGGGGCCGGGTCGGGTGACAAGTCCACAGGTTTGAAGAAGGTTGAAGCTCCTCTTTGGAATTCTCCACCTCGGTTCATCACCTTGGAGACCTCAGCTCAAGCTTGGGGCCCCAGGGAGGGATCTCAGAAAAGGGTCGATGGCACCAGAGTCCCCTCTCCTCCAACCCCACGCTCCTCCCCAGCGACTTCGACCCCAACGCCCGCCCGGGCTGGGTGACCAGCGAGACGGCGGCCCGCTGCCTCCTGACCCCTACGAGCTTCCGTAGCGCCGCGCGCCGGCCGCCGTGAGCCTCGCAGGCCGCCGTAGACGCGTCGGCCCAAGGCCGCGTTTTCAAAATGGCTGTCAGACCCCGCCAGCCGCGGTACCCTCGCTGAAGGCCCGGCGGCGGCGTGCCGTCCCCCGAAGCCCTTCGGTTCGGGGCTCTAAAACCCGGCTGAAGAGGAGGGCGGCGCCGCGCGTGCCGTCTCCCGAGGCGGGGCGCGCCGAGCCCCTTCCGGGGATGGGCCCGGCGCCCCCCGGCTCCTCCCCGCGCGGGCGGGCGCTCGGCGGAGTCTCCGCCCGTCAGGCCGCCCGACGGGGCGGGCCGCATACCGGGCCCGGGCCGCGGCGCCGGGAGCTCTGAACCCCGCCGGGCACCAGCGCGGCCGCCGGCCCCGCGGCTGGAGGTGGTGGGCGCGGGGGAGACGCTCCGGGCGGGAAGGCGGTGGCGCCATGTTCTCCCTCAAGCCGCCCCGACCCTTCTTCAGGTCCTACCTGCTGCCGCAACCGCAGGTAAGCGGCTCCCGGGACGCTCGGTTGGTGTGTGTGTGTGTGTGTGTGTGTGTGCGCGGGGAGGGGGAACCCCGCGAACAGAGACCCCCCTCCGCATGCACACCCCCGGGGCGGGGCGGCCCGGCGTAGCCGCCGCCGCCGGTCCCTCGGCCCGCGGGCCCAGCTCTGCCCCGTGACCCAGCGATCGGAGCCGGAGGCGCCGGGGCGGCCGCGGGACGCCGGTCCGTCTCCCGGACGGTGGCAGCGCCCGCGGCCGCCTGGCCGACGCGGGGTCCGCCGTCTGTCACACCCCCCCCCCCGGGGGAGGTAGGTGGGGTGTTTGGACCGTCGATCGGGGGCCCCCAAGTTCGATCATGGGCCGATCTTTAAAAAAAAAAGTTTGCTTTTTTTTGTCATTTTAATTTTCTTCTTGTTATTGTCGAGGTGATGCACACAGGGGTCAGGTAACGAGTACCTTCATCATTGTTTTGGACGCTGTCACCTCCTTTGCCCTCGCCCAGCTGAGCAGATGAAAAACCTGCAGAGATGCATGTGGGTGGGGATCGGTCGCCCCTGTCATCCTCTTAGAAAACTTTTTTTGCCGCTGTGTCTTAATGGAAAAGGAGTTTGGATTTTGTTTTAATGTGTTCCTGTGTTTCAGACCGATGACAAGATTAGCTCCGAACCAAAGATTAAGAAACTGGAGCCGGTCCTTTTGCCAGGTAACTCACCCCCCTCCTCCCCCCAAGAAGAATTTTTTAAGTCGTTCTGGTAAATAATGTGTTAGGTCTAAGATTGTTCTACTCGGTGGTTTAGCGTGTGGTTTAACTTTTATTTATTTCAATCTGTTCTCCCACTTAAAATAAATCTAATGACTTCAGAGAAGCAGAAAGAGTTGGTGAGAGATAAATGGTATTTCTCCTTGAAAGTTTAAAAGCATCATAGAAAACTGTCAAGCTTTAAACATCTTCATTGTCTTCCTGAAATTGTCTTTTGGAAAGGAAGTATTTAATCACTTGTGTAATTTAATTTAATTGCTTGAGTAGTGAAAGTTCTTTTTGTCTTACACATCTGTCTGCAACTTAATGTATTCATGATGAATAGTCTAATCACAATTTTAGTGTGTTTGGATGGTCTGGAAATCAACTTTTATTAATCAACAAAGCTTAGTGAACTTTGAGTGACTTAGTTGGCAATTGTTTTTCGAAGCTGTCAGCTGTATTTGCAAGTCTCTGTGTTTCAGTTTAGAATGGGGTTTCTCTGTGGAGGCACTGTGGACAATTAGTGCTGGATAGTTCTTTGCTGTGGATGACTTGACAATCTCCCTGGCCTGGACCTACTAGATGTCTCTAGTACTCTGGTCCCCTCCTACTAGTTGTGACCTAATTGCCCAACCAAAATGTCTCCAGGCGTGCTACATCTGTTTATGTATGTGCATGTTGTACCTATACACAAGCAAGCACCTCCAGGAGACAAAATCTTCAGGTTCAGAGTTGTGTTTAGAAGAACTTAACCTTTAGAAAGACCTTAGAAAGGGGCTGGGAAGGTGGCTCAGTGGTAGAGTGCTTGCCTTGAATGAGGCCCTGGGTTTGATTCCTCAGCACCACATAAGCAGAAAAAGCCAGAAGTGGTGCTGCGGCTCAAGTGGTAGTGTGCTTGCCTTGAGCTTAAGAGCTGAGGGACAGCACCCAGGCCCAGAGTTCAGCCTCATGAGGACCAAAAAAAGAAAGACCGTTGAAACAAAGGTGTGTGGAGGGCGAGGTGGGGAGCGAAGATTATTGGTAGTCAAGAGTTTAGTTTTAGAGTGTACAGAAAACAGAACCCTTAATGGTTGGTATTTTTGAATTATGTAACAATTGTATAATTATTAGGAAATGCCAGTTGTTTAATGAGATTCTTGGGGGAAGTAGCCAGATACTTAAGAAAGCCTATTTGAAACCTGAAATGTCATCAAATACCAGATTGTATGACTACCATCAACACTGAAAAATGTCAGCATTGTTACTTAACACCAACTTTGGTGAAATAATGAGAGGTTTATAGGTAGCAACAGAACACTTATGGGACTTTGAGAACTTTAAGTTTTAAGTGGAAAAAAATTATTGAAAAACATCAACTTCTGGTTCCATATGGTAAATGCCAACTCATAATTTTTTTCAACTTTATTACAGGATTTACTTATAAGTATTTTCCATTGATTTTCTCAGTGCCTTTCACCCAGTGTTTATTAATTAATCCTTGGTACTTTTCCTTGGGAGTGAACAACAGAATTACTTAGTAACTCTTGCTCCCTGTGTGTTAGAATTAGTCACTGGAATTTAGAAGCAATGGGAAATAGTACTCATCTTGAGTGAATGAGTGAGTGCCTGTGAACTCTTGAGCTTGTTTCCTTGACTGAGTGAACAGACCTGATTTAGGCTCTAATTTCCCTCCTGGTGCTAGGTTTTGACATTGAAAAACAGCATAGTCTTAGTTACAGATGTTATTGCATGATTTTTAAAAAATTAACTTTTAAAGTTAAGGTATGCTTATGGAAAAGTATTATTAGCAATAAGCTTAAAGAGTTTTATCCTTGTTGTCTTCTTTTTTTTAAATGCCAGTCCTGGGGCTTGAACTTGAGGCCTGGTGCTGTCTTTGAGCTTTTTGGCTCAAGGCTAGTACTTGAGCCACAGTTCTACTACTGTCTTTTTTCAAAGCTTGGACTGGCTTCAAACCACTTTGCTCAGATCTCAGCCTCCTGAGTAGGTAGGATTACAGGTGTGAGCCACTGGTGCCCAGCAAAGGTTTTTTGTTCTTTAAAATTACTAAAAGCTTACTCTTTACTGAGAAATCAGTTTTCTGGGGAAGATTTTAAACCCAGTCCTGACTGGATGTCATTTATTTGTCCTAGAAGTAATAGCAACTTCTTTTTCTTTGTTTGGTCATTCTTTCTCTTTTCTTCTTTTTTCTTTTCTTTTCCTTTCCTTTCCTTTTCTTTTTTTTTTTTTTTTTTTGAGGCTAGGTCTTGGTAAATAGCCAGACTGGCCTTGAACTCACAGTCCTCCTGAGTGAATGTTTGGATCAGGGGCAAGTGCCATCATACTCTGCTAAACAGTATCTTCTTTCAGTAACTGGCTAAGGAACTCTGTCCTGTGCTAATTTTTCTTGCTTTGACTCTCCAGTCACATCTGTACATGCATACATGGTAGTTCTGTCCCTCATCCTTCTAAATCATTGAGCTAAGCCTGAATTATAGTGTCTTCCTGACTCTTGTTGTTACTTATCTGTCTTCTTCCCTTCCCACACTCTTCCTAGGTGTGTTCTATTTGGCCACTCTTTTGTGTTGTATTCTCTTTCTTCGCTTTATCTCCCATGTCACTTCTTTCCTACTCCCAGAACCTCTGTTGCCCCTTTTACCCTAGACTTGTAGTCTGGAAGACTGGTTGTAGAAAGCAACAGACTTTCTGGCTCTCCAGCCACCTACACTAGTGTGGCTAGAGATGTAACTCGGAGGTGCATCTTGATTGGTAGAGGGCATGCACCTAGCATGTATAGGCTATGCATTTGATCCCCAGCATTGCAAACATAAACTCATAGGCCTAGCCTAAGAGGGATTGATTAATGCAGTTTTGACCTTTACTGTCAGAAACCAAGGGAAAACTTGGCCAAGTCACCTGTGGCTTTACCCAGGCACACAGAACAAGAAGTGATTGTTCCAAGATATAATGTTGCATGCTATGCTCTGGCAAAATGCCTCGAGTCCAAGGATATCCTACTCTAGTTGCCCCAAGTTTGAACTTTTGATTCAATAAGCAGATGAAAATTAGAACACAAAAATCAGTTGTTTATTTGTGTGTAGTCATCATGTGTTCTGATGGGACTTAACAAGATTAAATTTAAATTAATGATCCTCCTCAAGAAAAATGGAAGAAAATGACCAGTAGTTTAATGTGAATTGTGGTTTGTGTTAATAATTTTCAACAGTTCATGAAATTTAGGGAGATGAAGATTGTACTCAATTCAGCTCTGTAATTCTGACGTCTAGCATAGTGCCTGAATGTGGGCAATATAGAGATATTTATTGAGTGAATGTCTGAACCCTAGATTGCCTGCCTAAACTGGTCGTAGCCATGTGCCCGCACAGACAGACCAGCTCCAGGGTTTAGACTTATTTTATGCTAAATATCTCAAAAGAATCACTTTTGAGCCTGTATGTAATATGTCTTCTTCATTGGACAAATAGTTCAGACCCACCTGCACCCATCAGATGTGGTAAGAGGGATGATAACCTGCCTGCCTGCAAGCATGGGTGCAGCTCTGCTTCTGGATATTTTCAGGTTAATATTAAGGAAAGAAACCTTGTTTTGGGCAATGCTTCAGTGGCTACAATTCCCGAAAAACCTGTCCCAGAGTAAAAAATCCCCTGAGGGAGTGGACTCCTGGCGTTCAGCTCTGGGAGTTTTATTGTCTGTGAGGTCTAGCAAACACAAAGCCACAGAATTCTTCTTTTCGCTATAACTAGTTCCAGGCAAGTTTCTGACACTCAGACTAAGATCCTTAACTAATGTAGCTTACACAGATCTTCATAACAGCTGTTTCATGTAAGGTACCAATTTACCTTCATGTAATGGGAGAGCAGGCTGTGATTTGAAAAGGTTAAGTAACCCGCCCAGTGTCACACAACTAGCAAGGGCAGAACCAGACTTGTGCGCCCAGCTCCCAGGCTGGGCCTTTTGCCACTAAGCAACACTGCCTACCTTGCTGCTCTGGTGACAGTGGGTACAGACTTATGCTTCAGAGCAGTGGGTTGGATATCACCCTAGAGGAAATTTTCCAGTAAGGTAAAAAGAGCCCTGACCTTACCTTTGCCCTTTTCAAAGCAGCGACAGATTTTGACCCAGCTTGAGGAGGAACTTTCAATTTCAGCTGCCTGCAGACGGAATGCTTTGAGAGGCAGGGGACTTCCTTCTGCTAAAGCAAGAATTCCAGCTGCTTTGTGAGGAGGACATAAGATTCCCAGGGAATGGGGTCTGAGGGTTTTTGCTGACTTCTAGCCCTGAAGCATGATCTTTTTACTGACCCACGAGGTGGGAGGGAGGAGAGTTTGAAATGCTGTGACTAATACTGATGAACTGCTTTGTTGTCCAGTGGTTGCTCAGTGTTACTCAGCCAAGTGGTAGAAAGGTAGGGATTCTGCCCTTAGATAATTTTAGCCCAGAAAGAGAATGCTTCCATACAGGAGAGCAAGGGTTGTAAGGGCTCAGAGGGAGTCATCTAAGTCAAATTTGGGGGGGCCTCACGGGGCATCTCATTCTCACATTCTCAGGGAATGTGTGCTGAGTCAGAGGGCCTGCTCAGCTGAGCCCCTGTCCTAGAGTCCTGTGTCAGGACAGGTTTTTCTTCTTCCCCTCTGCAATGCCAGTCGCACTTTCCTATGGAGATCAACTGTGAGATGGGTAATGAATGCCCTGATTGTCAAGTCTTTTGTCATCAGAGCAGAGGAGAATGCAACCACGGGCCATCTGGAAAATGAAAACAGTCCTTGTTGAATTGAGGCTTGGTTTATTTTTTACATATTCACTGTTTGGACCATTGATGTACTGTTCTGCCCAACTATAAGTCCTCGTTTCGCTTGTGAATCCCTTACAGGCCACCCCAACAACAAAACAAAAACCCCAATTGCCTTTTGGATGTTGTACTGCCCTTTGAAGATGGCCACACAGATGATTGTAGACTGATTGTG